TGCTATTGCTATTGGCTTTTGGGCGTGTACCAGAGACAACAGCAAAAAGCTAAAGAAAAACTATAAAAATCCATAACCGAACATGTGGCCAGGGATGGGCCTGGCCAATCAATCGATATTCGCTGTACCGTGGAATCGATCAAGGCAGCATTTTATTTGTATGAAATTTCTACCTATTTATTTACCTATCTTTATGGAGATCTATAGATTAATGCTTAATGCAATTGTCTGCGGAATCACTTTGCATTGCTGCAGGCAACTGGAGAAATGGAATCTAATGGAAATGAATGGGGAAACATCTTAGCAGAGCTCTTTGATTGGAACTGCTTGCACCATAGATCTTAATTAAAGAGACTTTGCGCCTCTCTCTCTCTCCCTCTCTCTGCACCTCTGCTGTTGGCCTGGTCGAGCATACCCCACAATAACCGCTGTCTGCTCTGCGACTTGCCTTCTCTGTTGCAGCTGCGTTAGAGTTAAAGTTGCTGCTGTTGCAGTTGCTGTTGTTAATGTGAATTTGATTAAAGCGAACGGCTTCGGGGGGGGGAGACCAAATGGGGGCGACCAAAACTGTCGGCAGGCTCGCGCCTGGTCTGTTTTTTGGGATCAGAGACCAGATATCCATACCACTCACTTCCAGCCACAGCCACAGCGCCAGTGCCAGCTGCAGAAACAGCAACTGCAACAGCAACAGCAACAGCTACAGTTCCAGCACCAATTCAATTGCTTATTTACAATGTGCTAAAATTGTGTGCCCCGACAATTGTTCATTAAAAACTCGGCACGAAGTGATATTGATTTTGGTATCCATTCCAATCCATTCGCTGCGGCTGCGGCTACGGCTACGGCTGCTGTCCGGTTTGTGGCATAATTAAATGTGGGCACAGTCGCAAAAACACGCCAACTTATCGAAATAATAACATTTATTTTAAGCCGATCCGGCCACGTCATTGCCATAGTTATAGCCCGTCGACATCGCCACAGACATCGCCCACCCCACACACCCAGTCCAGTTTTCTGTTTGAGTTTCTGTTTCTGTTTCAGCTTCAGTTGCAGTTCGAGTTCCAGTTCAGGTTTCCACTGCAGCGCAGCAGCAGCAGCTCCAGCTGCACTTAAATTTGCATTTCATTCTGAGGGGAGACCCGTTGCAGCTGCAACTTCTGGCTTCAGCTTCAGCTTTGGCTTTGGCTTTTGCCTCAACAGCTCTCTGCTGATGACCCGACCCGTTCGTTGCTCATACGCCCCGTAAATCGAAAAAGTATCTCTTCTGAGAGTGCTAAAAGTTTGCCAATTTGACTGCGGCAGATACGCCTGCCTCGTCTCGCCTGGGCCTGCAACTTGTTGCCACAACGCCAAGGCGAGTGTCGCATTCGTAATGAGTTCCCTGATATCAGTCCCTCTGTCCCTCTCTGTGTCCCGTCTGCCAAAGAGACCCATGCAAATTGCCGACTATCGACTGTCGACTGTCGGCTGTCGCCGTTTGCCTGTCGAGTGATAAGGCCAAGTCGAGTGCTGAGTATTGGCCACCGGCGTTGGCCATCAGTGCTGCTATCCGTGGACACGGATTGCCGGCTGTCTGGGATACTGGGGTGTGGCAACACGAGAAGTCACTTTGATGATCATTCCAGTCCATTCCCACCGAAAGGTGACCCCAACTGGCCCAGAGACCTACAAAACGGTTCATAAATTATAATCACTTCTGAATTTCTGAATTTCAGCCTTTCCACTTTCCACGCTCACTTTCCTTCGTTGAAAACAGTAGCCCTGCTAGGGGGCCTACAACTCTGCCTAACAATGCTCGCATTTTATGGAAATCTCAATCCCTGCCCCCCACCAGCCCCAGAACCCTGGCCTTTTCCCATTATGGTGCAGCAGCAGCAATTAAGCAGAGAGAGAGAGAGAGAGAGAGCTTATGGGAGGCAGGCAGCCAATCAATTGGGTAGAAAAGCTTAACGAAGGAATTTGCCTGATTTGCATATCTAAAGCATTAACTAACTGAATGAATGTTCCAGCTTTTGGAGGGGCTTTTGTTGCCGCTTTGCATAGATTTTGAGAACTGAAACTCAAGTATTTATTTATTTATTTGCTGCTGCTGAGGCTGCTGCGGCTGCTGTGGCTGCTGCCGTTGCTCTTTCTTCATGATGGCAGTGCATTGTTCACAGATTCATCTACCGTTAAGAGCGAACAGCAAAAGACAGAAATATCTATGGATAAATGTTTGGACGAATGTGAAAATACTCTAAAAATTGGGTTTAAATTAAGAGGGGGGGATATAACCAATCAGCTCTTTGAATTTTCCTGATTTAACTGCTGCCTAAACTATGAAGAACTATTTAGCTGCCTGCTCTTGCTTCTGCGCCAGCCTCTCAGCCCCCTCATCCATGCTGATCCATGCTAATGAGTACATCCCCCCACCCCAACTGGCAAAGGGTATATGTATTCTGTGCAGACAATGGACTCTTTACAGCGCTTGCTGAAAATTAATTAGACTCAATTTGTTGCTCAACCATCAAGAGACCGACAACAATAGCAGCAGCAGCAGCAGCAACAACAACAACAAATGCATCTTGTTTTTTGCTGGACAAATTCTATGCTCATATTGTGTGTGTGTGTATGTTTTTTTAGGAACAGGGAACAGACCTGAACAGTAAAAAAAAAACCGAAATGTTTGCGCTTACAATTCTCATGTAAATGCCAAAAGTTTCCAAGTTTTCCACATTGTTGAAAACATTTTGTGCTGCAGGTACAGGGGCAGGGGCAGGGGCGGATGGTAGGCAGAGGCTACGGCTACGACTACGGCTACACAGATGCCGAACGGTAAACATGTTGCTGTCAACATTTACATGCCACACTGTGGCCGGCCACAATTCAGCGATTAGAAAGCGCCGCCCGATACCGATAAGGGGGGCCTGGTTCAATGAGCCGGCCAACACAATTGGAGCAGGAGGAGAAGGCAGAAGGCAGGCAGAAATAAAAAATCATTAACTGGCACTTTCTCAGCCTCACCTCCCCCCCCCATGTGTCACAGCCCCAGCAACTGCAACGAGTAGATGTGCCAGGTTTTGCTTTAGTTTTTGGCGTAATTTATCAGAGAGCCTGAAATGCAATCGCGCAGTGCAGGTGAAAAATGGACAGACAGGGAGACAGGAGGACAGGCGACAGAGTCGCGGACAAAGCACAACACCACTTGGCCACTTGTTATCCCCAATAGTGTATGCCCCAGTAAGCACTAACTCCACTGCCACATTGCACACTGCCACTGCACAGCACTCCGCAATCCACACTCCGAGGCAGCAAATCAAATACCCAACTTATACAGATGTCAATTATTTTTGCCTGAAGCTGGGGAGCTGTGAGCTGTAGCTGTGAGCTGCTAGTTCGCTCTTCTATTTCGATTTAGTTGCTAGCTTGCAATTTTGGCTCGTTTCAGTTCAGTTCAGTTTGGTTTGGGATTGGGATTGGAATTGGATTGAATTGGATGCGATTGGAGAGACGAAATTGCTGGCTGAACTCGTTAGCTGCAAGTTGCAGCAACAATCCATCCGTTGCAGAGGCAACGCCAGGCACAGGCAAAACGTGGCATCGTTCTGCACCTCACTGCACTGCACTGCAATGCACTGCACTGCACTGGCAAGTCATCCAATTGCTAAGGCTAGAAAATTGATATTATTTCTACCTTTTGCCATGGAGATTGCCTGCCCCCGAAACCTGTACGCTGGCTTGGACATGGACATGGACAACATCGACAGATCTCTCGCTTCTTGTTCATTGCTCGCAAATTATAATTGAATGATTGCACGGGCTGTACGGGCTGCTTGGCTGCTTGGCTGCTGCTGCTGCCAAGCGATTTGCTCGTCATTTTCCCCAACTCATTCAGCCTCGTTATGGCGAAACGGGGATGGATGAATGGATCAAATCAATTGATATTGATTGGGTCTCTGTTTAAAGGAAAAAGGTGTCAAAACTATTGCCTCCTAAATGGGGGGCTGCTGCCCAATCATCCCTCAAGGCATTCCCATACAACATTTTCATTCTGTTCGATTCGAGTGATTGTCAAGTTCATTAAATTGGGGATCTGTGGCCTGACTTATTACAGACTACTAGAGACTAGAGGCTGCTGCTCAACCGAATGCCTCATGAATTGAATTGAATGTAATGTAATGGCGATGCCATGCCATGCCAAAGGGGATCAACGTTTGACAACAAATTTATTTAAAAGACAACTTGCAACAAATAAATTTCGCTAGAGCCAGACGTTGAGAGAGGAATGCAGACCCCTGGCCAAGAGCTGCTGTGTAGGAGTCACAGTCAGAGTCAGAGTCACAGTCACAGTCAGCGTCGCCGTCATTGTCCTTCTGGTTGATGTCCAATAATGCGATGGCTTGTTGAAATTCATTCATCAATGTAATCGATCAGACATGGGGCCAGAGGAGCATTGACATGCCACGTAACATGCTCTCCGTATGTAAATGGAGACAGGCCAGCAATCCGTAGCAGACACACACACAATGCAACATAAAATTTAATCAATTTATTGGAAACGAGCGAGGTATTGTCTTTGGTCTTTTTGCCTTTCAGCTCAGACACGGACTTGACTCGAACTCGACTCGACTCGACTCGATTCAACTCGAATCATCGTCCGAGGCTTATCCGCAGCTTAGCATCTACACTTTCTCTCCTCACGGGCTTTGATATGGGGAGTCAAAAGTATTTTCTTGGCACGAATGCGAGCAAAAGGCCAACATAAATCTAGGGGATTCGTGTGGGTGGGGCTGTGGCTGGGGCTGTGGCTGGGGCTCTGACAACCTGGACAACCGCACCCACCTTGTAGCCGGCAGCTGCCAGCAGAGATGTGGCCAAAGTTTGGCATTAGATTATGGCTTTTGCATGGCTTTCTGGGCGCAAGCCAAGCAGGAAAGAAAAGGCTTAGAATGTGTCCAAATTTAAACTAAATAATTGATATCTCGATTGAATCTTAAAGTCTTCTTTGGAGGAGACTTCAAAAAATACTATAGCATTCCCTTTGGCTGTCATCTGACTCCTAATCTTATCTCCCAACAACAAAATGGTGAAGCAAAAGGAGCGGGATGCTGTTTGTGCGCTGATACCCGAATCTGAAATGCTCGAGCGGCACAAGCGTCACCTCAGTCGAATGCATGATGTGGCCATCAGCAGGGGATTCATCAACCGTACGTTACGTATCCAACCCATGTCCCTCCCCTCGCCACCTAACTTTATTTATTTGCTGCAGATTCACTCAACCAGTTCGATGAACTGGAGAAGGAACGAACTCGTCAGGAGCACTGGGATGATTATGTGCGCTGCGATGAGCTGCCGCGACCCTTCAACCCATCGGAAATTCGCAGCTTTATAGCCAGAGAACGGCACTACGAGAACCTTGAAGCGGACAAATCTATAGACTGGACACTGTCGGTGGATGAGTGCAGTATCCTCACTCAGAGCATTTTCAGGACGGACCGCACCCGTCGTACGCTGAAGAAGACATTGGCCATCAATCCGGCGGAGTACATCGCGAGGGATGTGCAGCTGTGCCTGGATACATTGAGGAAATTGGATATTATGCTGGACAACGATGTGGAGCTGCAGCGAATGAATATCAAGCGGCTGGAGGATATATTGCTGGTGGGTTTCCGGTGGGTGTCTGTCAGTGAAAATTGTTAATCCTTCGGCGTCTCATGCTCGTAGGTTCGTGGCGACATCGAACGGGAGATTGTCAGCCTCTTTGATCGTCTTGCCTATCGGATTTTGGGCACGCAAGGAGCCTACATGAAGTGAGTTTTGTTAGCTGCCGCTACTAGCATTGTGGAGTAATATTTTTTTTGCAGCACTGTGGATGGTAGCGTGGCCACGTGGAGCTACAAATGTCAGCCGTGGGCCATGGATATTTGGGGTCTGCTGATAGCACCCGTGCGCTTCGATCAAATGGAGTGAGTTTGCTCTCTCTCCCACTCTGTTTGCTCTCCATACTCCATACTCAATAATGTTCCCCAGAATTCCTGCCATGCTGGCCAAGCTCAGCCTCACTGGTGTCTCGGTGCAGATGCCACTGAGTGTGCTGAAGGACTGCCTCACCCTGCGCTGTGTACACACCAGTTTCGATAGCTACTCGCAGAATGCAAAGAGCTATGTGCCCGTGGTTACCGAGTCCACCACCTACCCCACAGCGGGTATAGTGGATATCGAGAACTCGGCGGAGAACGAGTGGCTGCTGCAGCTGGACATACAGCAGGAGATCTTGGCCGAAATGATACTCAAGCGGCAGCATTACGACGAGCTCATGGTGCTTATAACCGAAAAGACCGAACAGGCGGCCAAAGCGGCGAGATCGGGTGCTGATGCCAATGGCGTGAAGTCGACAGTACCCAAGGCCCCAAAGGAGCCGCCAATGGTGCCGCCGGGCATGGTGCCCGACATCTACGATGAGTTCATCAAACGGGAGGACAGTCAGTACAAAGGATTCCTCGAAGAGGTGTACCATCCCATGACACTCGACCTGACAGAAGATGAGGTGGGTGCTAAACGATACTCATGTAGATATAGCCAATGAGATATAGCCTATTCTATCCTTTATTCTTTCAGATAAATCTCCGACAACGCATTATGCTGGGCGGCATTTATTCGCTTATGTTTGTGGGTCGACCTGCTCAGACGCAATTCGAGAAGTTCAACATTATCCTGCACGATGATGGTCGCGTTCTGCGCACTATGCCGGAAGTGGTGGCCGGCCTGAAAGATCCCCAGGATGAGCTCAGGGCCTCGACTCTGGCAGGGGCTAGGGTATCCCGCTTCCGCTTGACTATGGAGAATGTCAACAATATGAAATTGGATGAAGATGAGCTGCCGTACTTCAATGTCGTTCTGGAGCTGGCGCCCAAGCTTTGCCAGTGGGGCGAGCCCGTGGTCTGCCAGTACTTGACGAGCCTGGAGCCCATCGATCCTCATAGGTCGTCCGTAACGTCGCTTGCCCACATTGCCACCGAGAAGATCAAGAAGGCGGCGCCAAAGCGACGCATGCCCAAGGAACACGATGTCGAGGGTGGGCCGAGCGCCAATATCTTTCGACCCTCTGTCAGGTCGAGCATTGGGTTACTTAGCAGGATCCAATCTCAGTCTGAGAGGTCTGCTGGGCTGGCCAACTTCTCGCTGAACAGGTACTTGGATCATCCGCAATTGTGGAGCTTGGAACGGCACTGTCTGCCGCGCCTGCTCTCCTCGTTCAAGTTTCCCGGCGAGTTTATTGAGGAGCTGAAAGAGACCTTGGCCAACCAGAATCAAATGAAACCGAAGGGTCTAGTCCGACGACACAGTGTCGGGCAGGACGAAGAATTGGAGGTGCCAAATGTTGAGATGGATTTCGAATCGCAGCACGGTCCGGAGCGCCTCTTTCCCGTATTCGATTTGGTCGAGAGTGTCGTGTATCGCGAGGAAGCCTCCAAGGATGGCGAGACAATGTACGGCTTGTTGGCCACCATTCAGGACATCAAGGACAAGTATCTGCTGAGGCAGCCGATTGTCGAGCCCAGCCTGATGTCTGCACAAAAATCGACAATCATGCTGGAGGAGCCGGGACCCCTTACACGGGCGCCAGCCAAAACTAAAGCGCACAAACATAAATCAAGACCACACCATTCGCATTCGAGCGTTGAATCAGGCCAATCGGCATTCTCGACGGCACACGAGCAATCGATGGAGCATACGGAACCAATGCAGGAGGTCTTGCACTGGACAACGAAACACATTGCCCAGACGACATTCGACAGGCCGAACCACACGATGAGCATTAGGACAGATCGTTTGGGTATTTTCGGACTGGCCTTCAAGCGCTACGAGCACTTCCCCTTCGGCGACTGGTCGCTGCAGCCCAACGAGGAGAAGTAAGTGCAGAAATCTGCAGTGCATCAGTTTGCTAATCCCCTTCCCCGTGAATCCCATTCACCGTAACAGTCCCGATGAGATCATTCTCCAGTTGGATACATTTCATGTGCGAATATATTTCTACATTACCGCGAAGGGAGTGCGCGGCTATGTAACGGACTTGAGCAAGGCGTACACGGCGAAGCCTGTCAAATATATAGAAATACTAGAGCCTGTTTCCGATTTTCGTGAACTGCGGAAGGTAAGCAACGGTGCCACAGCCCGATTGCTGATTTGTGTCAGCCAATTTCTTCTGGCCCCTTTTAGATTTTTGTGGAGAATAACATCAACATTTTTGCGGAGAATGATGCCAGTTTCTATATCGAAAGGGATTACTTTAGCATCAAGCATGTGGCCACAGAGCACCACACATACGATGTGATGGGCCTCCAGTGTAAGCTGATGAAATTCTATCGTTCCCGCTGGAATCCATTGGCCACTCGTCGCGACATTATTGTGGCCATGAAGAATGCCAAAGATCATTCCGAGTTCTCGGAGGTAACAGTGCGCATCACACCCGAAAGGACCAGCTTTGTGGAGGTGAAAGAGCTCTGTTCGGATGACATTGATGCCATTAAGCTGCAGTATGTGGAAACCTGGCGAAACATAAGCGTAAGTAATGCAAATATAAACGGAATTCTCCTCTATGCTGTGTGGCAATTTCATTTACAGAACTGTACGGACCTGTATCAGGCCATTTGCTCGATGAATCCCTATGCCACGGAGTCGCGCAATAAAGATCCATTACTTCTATATAACGTTAAGCGGATGCTAAGTGAGATTCGTCTGTTGAGTTATTCGTAGAGTTATTTAGTGTTTAAATGTGTGTGTGTGTGCGTGTGTATTTTCGTCGTATGTTTGAGTTATTTGTTATTTTCCATAGCAAAATATATTTTGTACTTAAGAAAAAAGACAGACAGCACCCATTGGAAGGCCTTCTAGGCCTTCTAGGCCTTCTAGGCTTAAAGGCCTAGAGATGTTTTTTGCCATCGATTTAATTGTCTAAAACATCGACAAACATTCTACATTCATTCCCAATCAGCTGCACACACAGGTACAACCACACATAGAAAGATTAGCTAGTTCCTGTAGGATATACCACAACATACAAGAATGGCAAAGCATCATCGAGAGGCCGCCTATAATCTGATCACCGAAGCTGAACAGCTGGAGCACCAGGAGCGGTTTGTCAGTCGATTGCAAGATATGGCAGCCAGCTGTGAATTCGTAAAGCGTAGGATCTGATGAGCAGTGATACCTTGAATTTGTTTTCAATTTAAATCATTGGCAGGTGCCCTCAAGGACTTTAACCAACTGGAGGCGGCACGCGCCCGTCGGGAGCACTGGCAGCATTACGTGACCTGCGATGAACTGCCGCGACCGTTTGATCCCTGCGAGATGCGCACTTTCCTAGTCAAAAGACGTCACTTTGAGGACATTGAAACGGACAAAGCTGTAGACTGGACACTGTCGGTGGACGAGCGCAGTGTCCTCAATCAGAATATTTTAAGAGAGGATCGCACACGAGCAGCGTTGCAGAAAAAGCTGGGCGCCAGCCCGGGCGTGGCCTTCGACAGAGATGTGCAGATGTGCCTCGACACACTGAAGAATATCGAATTGATGCTGGACAATCAGGCCGAGGTGGAGCGAATGAGTATGGAGACGCAGCTGGAGGTGTTTGAGGTTCGCAGCGACATCGAGGGGGAGATCGAGAGCCTCTTCGATCGTCTCACCTATCGCATATTGGGCATGCAGCCCGTCTACATGCAGTGAGTGAGAACTCAACACTCGCAAATAATTAAATAAAACTCAAAATTTATGTACTAGAACTGTGGATGCCAGGGAGGCCACGTGGAGCTACAAGTGCAAGCCATGGACTATGGATATCTGGGGTCTGCTGAACGCACCCGTGCGCTTCGATCAATTCGAGTAAGTTTACCAGCTAGTCCCAATCGGTCTGCCTAATGTTCTCTGTGCACCCAGCATACCGGCAATGATGGCCGATATGAGCGCCACGGGCGTCATGGTGCAGATGCCGCTGAGTGTGCTGAAGGACTGCCTCACCCTGCGCTGTGTCCACACCAGTTTCGATAGCTACTCGCAAAAGGCCAAGAGCTATGAGCCCGTGATACCCGAGCAAGTCAACTACCCCAACGCTGGGATAGTGGATATCGAGGAGTCGCTGGTGAAAGAATGGCACATGCAGGCGGAAATACAGGAGCAGGCGCTGGCAGCGATGATTCAAAAGCGCCAGCAGTACCTGGAGCTCTTGGTGCTGATTGAGGAGCGGACGGAAATGGCAGCCAAACGGGCGAAGGAACAAACCCAAAGTCAGGGCAAAAACAAGCAACCAAAGGTTGTGGTGCCCAAGGCACCAAAGGAGGCGCCCGAGGTGCTGCCAGGCATGTATCCCGACACCCACGGAGACTTCCTGCAGCAGGAGGAGAGCCAGTACAAGGAATATCTCGATGAGGTCTACCATCCGCACAAGCTAAATATGACCGCCGACGAGGTGAGTGGACACACATATGTACATCCCCTGGAACAGCCACTGACTTCTCTGCCTCTCTTCTGTTCCTGCAGATTAATCTCAGGCAGTACATAATGCTGGGTGGCATCTATTCGATCATGTTTGTGCGTCGACCGACGCAGGTGCAGTTCCAGAAGTTCAATCTGATACTCCATGAGGATCGGCGGATTCTGCACACGATGCCGGATGTGGTAGCCGAGATGGGCGGCGGCCGCTTGATGCCAGAGTTTCGTCGCACACAAATAGCGGAGAGCCGCAAGCAGACGCCGGCCACGTCGCGCATGCGCCTGACCACAGCGCTCGATGCGCGCCAGAGCAGCATTAGGCTGCATGACAGTGAGCTGCCGTACTTCAATGTGACGCTGCAGCTGCCCGTGGAGCTGTGCAAGTGGAGTGAGCCTCGCGTCTGCCAGTATGTGACGGACATGGTGCCCATTGACGAGTTAGCCGCCTTCGAGCGCGCCACTGAAGTTGCCGAGAGTCGGCTCACCAGACGCATCAAATCCAAGGCCGCCAGTAGGACTACAACGGCGGATCGTGAACGTAAAACTGGCAGCGAACCATCCAATATCTTTCGCCCCTCCCAATTGTCGGTGCTGCGGCAGAGCAGACTGGAACGAATTTCCACGATATACGCCCCAATGGTCAACTATAATTTGGAGAAAATTTTAACCCTGCCGGAACTGAGGAACCTGCAGAAATACTCTGTTGACCGCATTATATCCTCCTTCCAGCTGCCCAGGGACTTCTTGGACGAAGACCAGGAATTGGAGGAGCAGCAGAAAGGAAAGGGGGGCGTCTTGAAAAAGATACGCGCCCATGAGAACGAGGAAATTGTCGAGCGGCCAATTCGGGAATTTGAATTCAAATCGCAGTTCAAGCCAGAGCGCATTTTTCCCTTCTTCGAGAATGCCGAGCGTTACATGTGCACGCAGGAGAAACCGGAGGACAAATCACTGCACGGGTTCCTCAATACCCTGGAGAATATCAAAACGCAATACCTGACACGGCCCCACGATCTGCTGATACAGTGTGGCATTGAGGCCAAGGATCCTAAGGATAAAAAACCTGCAGCTGAAACAAGAACGACGAAGCATTTTTCTCGACGCGGCACAACATATCCAGTGAAAAAGGGCAAGCCTGCCGGCAGGCCGATCGACATGGGCATCGGCGAAGATACCGACAGTTCCCGCAGTAGCCAACCGGAGGCCGATGTTCCAATGCAGGAGCTGATACACTGGACCACAAAGCATATCATCAAAACCATATTCGACCGAGAGGCCAACACAATCACCTTTCGGACAGATCGTTTGGGTGTCTTTGGCTTGGCATTCAAGCGCTACGAGCACTTCCCCTTCGGCGACTGGTCCCTGCAGCCCAACGAGGAGAAGTAAGTGGAGGTGCAGCTGACTGTAGTCTGTCATATTTTGCTAATCCGCTTCCCATTCAACCGAAACAGTCCCGATGAGATGATACTCCAGCTGGACACGCACCATGTGCGCGTCTTTCTCTACATTACAGCGAAGGGGGTGCGTGGCTATGTGACCGATTTAAGCACCGCTTACACTGCCAATCCTGTTAAGTATTTAGAAATCGTAGAACCCCTATCCGACTTTCGCGACTTGCGCAAGGTAAAGTCAGCAATCTTATGGGAATTCTGCTATATACGTTTTTTCTTTTTGCCCTTAGATTTTTGTGGAGAAGAACATCAACATTTTTGCGGAGAATGATGCCAGTTTCTACATTGAAAAGGGCTACTTTAGCATTAAGCATGTGGCCGCAGAGCAGCACATCTACGATGTGATGGCCCTCCACTGTAAGCTGATGAAATTCTATCGATCCAGCTGGAATCGCCTGGCCTCTCGACGCGACATTATTGTGGGCATGAAGAATGCCAAGGATCTGTCGGACTATACCGAAGTAACGGTGCGCTTAACACCAGACAGTGCCACATTCGTGAAGGTATCGGAGCTCTGTTCGGACGATATAAATGTCATTCGGTTGGAGTATGAGAACACATGGCGGAATGTGAGCGTAAGTAGACAGTTTTGGCTCAAGTGTATTTGACTTTTCTGCATGTCTAATCTATGTACATAACTGTTTAGAACTTTACGGATCTGCATCAGGCCATATGCTCGATGAATGCCAATGCCTTGGATGTGTGCAATAGAGATACGCTTCTGCTGTACTACATACGGCGTATGTTGGGTGAGATTCGTATATTGAGTTATTCTTAGTTTGGTTATAGGTTAGTTACGTATAGCAAAAAGTGTGCCCTAAAAACATACACACAAAAATCAAATCAAATAAAATAAAACAAATTGTTTTTGTACAAAAATGTGGCTGCTGTCAGTTGAATAATTCACACTCATAATCCGTACACTCGTACACCCACATCGACACAACAACGACACGGGGATTGTAAACAGAAAAAAACCAAAAACCAAAAAACAAAAGAAAAAAAAAACACACACACACAAATTGGGGTGGGGACAAACATGGCTAGAAGGGGTTCGAAAAGATCAAGAAGGTCGAGTTCCATCAGATCCAGAGACGAGGGTCCCGCGGCGCCTCTTCTGTCCGAGGAGGAGTGGCTGGCACGGGAGCACTCCTATGTGCAGCGTTTGCAGGATGTCAAGATATGCGTTGGCTTCATAAACGGTAATTGCGATTGATCCCGATTAAGTGTGCATCTTTTATATATATCTGATGATGGGATTGGATGGCTTACAGAGTCCATTGTGGACTACAATGAGCTGCTGAAGCAGCAGCTTAAGGACGAACACTGGTCGCGCTATCTGGACTGCGATGGCCTGCCCAGACCCCATTGGCCCGATGAAATACGTCGCTTTGTCTGTCAGATGCGCTGCGAGGAGGCGGAGGTCGAACAAAATGTCGTCAATTGGACGCTGTCGGTGAACGAGCGCAGCATCCTCACGCAGGACATCTTTCGCGTGGATCTTACGCGCAAGAAGTTGGAGCAGGAGCTCCGACCCGACATTGGCAGGATCTACGATGTGAATATTCAGCGTATTTTGGAGACCATCAAGCGCATCGATCGGGTGCAGCGCAGCGAGCTGGAACTCGCTTTCCTATCGCCATCTCGAACCGTGGAACTGGGACAAGTAAGTGTAAACCTTTTCCCAGTGTATCTCTCTTTCTTTATCCTTCTTTATCATCGATTCCGTTGCAGATACAATTTGAACTTTTTAGCGAAATTGGAGCATTCCTTGATAAGCTCACTTATCGCATAATCACCGCCCCCGAAGCCTTTATGACGTAAGATTTGATCCAGTAAGGAGTAGAAATATTTAATCTTTATATGTGTGCATCTATAAACAGAAATATGGGTTGCATTTTGGCCAGTTATTGCTACAGGAGCAGCAAGTACAACTATCAGCTGTGGGGCCTGCAAGATGTTCCCATACGCTTTCAGTTTTTGGAGTAAGTTTCTGCCACAAACTTCTAAGAACTAGGAACTTAGGCGAGTCCTTTTTCTATAGACTGCCGGTGATGAATGCCAATCTGGACTGTGTGGGCCTCAATATACAGCTGCCGTACAGCGTGCTCTGTGACAATATGAGCCTGAGATGTGTGCACACCCACTTCGATTCGTACTCGGAGCGTGCCAAGAGCTTTGAGATTATGATTGACACGGAACCCCTGCCGCACTGTGGTCTGATGGACATAGAGGACTGCATTATCGATGAATGGCTCACACAGGTGGACATACAGGACGAAATAATCACAAAAATGGAGTCAAAAATGCAGCAGTATGTGGATGCCATGGAGTAAGTTGTAACCGTAGGCATAAGTTAAGCTGTGGTGTCATTTGTGGCATGTGGCATGTTGCAGCAAAATCGAAGTCAATCAGGCACCAAGGAGGTCCAAGGTAGAGGACAAGAAAAAGGACCAGTCGCAGGCAAAGGCAGTGAAGGCACCCAAAGAGCCGCAGAGTCTGCCGGAGGGCATGTTTCCCGATCCGTACGCAATCTTTCTCGATCGCGAACACCAGGAGTTCAAAAAGTTCTTGGACGAATCGTACAATCCGGCCAACAATTCGGAGATACCTGGCGAGGTGAGCTACAGTTCGTGTTCCTCCCTCATTATGCATTAATCTTCTCGACTAGATCAACCTGCGGCGCTTCATCCTGATGGGCGGCATCTTCACGGTGGACTTTGTGCGCAAGCCCAAGCACACCGCCTACGAGAAGCTGAACATCACCCTGCACGAGGATGGACGCATCCTGTATGTGGAGCAGGATAAGCTGGTCGATGACGACTGTGAGGTGGCTTTGCTCAGCTCCAGGTCGCGCCGCAATACCCTCAGGGAGGTGCCCTCCCGGCTGACTGCCGTCACCAGTCGTCCCGAAGTGCAGCGCCCCTCGGCTGAGGAAACAGACGATGACGGAACGGTGCTCTACTTGGCCAAGAACGAGCTGCCGTACTTCTTTGTCACATTCAAGCTGCCCAAGCATCTCTGTCGCTGGGGACAGCCCAACGTGTGCCTCTTCATGGAGGAGGAGCTCGAGGAGCCCGTAGTGGAGGAAGTATTTGAGCCGGAGCCAGAGCCAAGGGCAAAGAAGAAGCAGAAGGGAAATAGGGGAACACAAAATCTGGGCACCGCCAAGCCCTCCATCGATGGGCGGGAGCGGAGTGTGGTCGCCAAACTGGACAAGTCCGGCAAACCAATTGTAGTTGAGCCGGTGGCCTATCAGCGGCCCAACACAACCTGCATCACACGGCCGCGCCACGAATCGAACAACATTTACCGTCCCTCCAATTTTGAATATCTCCGCCGCAGCGGCCACGTTGCGCCCAGCAGTTTGATCCATCTAACCGGACGGAACTTTGAGTTGTCCGGGAAGAGCCTGAACAAGCTGGAGATTCACCTGATGCGGCAGCAGTGTGTGCCCCGCATCATATCCTCGTTCAAGTTTCCGCTGGAGTTCAAGGAGGAGCAGGACACCGAGTTGGAGATCAAAAAGGCAGCGGGCAACAAATTGCTGCGACGAAACAATAATGCCGATAACGAGGAGGAAACGGTTGAGCAGCAGCTGCAGCCCTATCCGATCTTCAACTATGAGGACCAATTCGGTCCGGAGCGTGTCTATCCGCACTTCGACGACCCAGAGCCGTTCCACTACGAAGCACCGGACAGCGCCACAGAGCGCATAGATGATGGTGGCAAGTCCCACAAGTCCCATTTCCAAGTGCGGCAGATGAAAGCCTTCAATGAACCGTCTCTTTTCGGTGTGCTGGCCACACTGGACGACATACAGAGCAAGTACACGAATAGCTTTAAAAGAACCATTCCAGAGGTTAAGATGACGCGTCGCACCCACAAGGAGCAGCGCATATCGTCCCGCAGGAGCAAGACTTCAGTGCAGAGCAGGGTGTCGGTGGGCCAGAGCCGTTCTACCATCTCGGACTCTATCAAAGACGAGGCGGAAACCCAATTGGCTGGCCACGACGAAAAGACCTCAATCATACGAAAATCGGAGAGAAAGTCGCGCAAACCCGACAGCATTGGGGCATCCAGGGAGACCTTGCCAGAACCGAAACCACCAGAGCCTGTGGAACGCGCCAAGGTACTCCACTGGACCACCAATCACATATTGAAATCGACATTCGATGCCACCAAGCGGACCATAACCATTAAGACCGATCGCTTGGGTGTGTTTGCGTTTGCCTTCAGGCGATACGCACACTTCCCCTTCCGCCACTGGTGCCTGGAGCCGAACGAGGAGAAGTGAGATCTGTGCAGGGATTTTTCGTGCATTTCCCATTTGTATATCTGTCCGTCCCCCCTTGCAGTCACAACGAGGTCATCTTCACACTGGACACCTTCTACGTTCGTGTGGTGATGTACATAAGCAGTGAGGGCGTACGGGGCTATGTGATTGACCTGCCCAAGGAGTACCAGGCCAGGCCGGAGAAGTTCCTCACCATTGAGGAGCCCATCAACGATTTTATTGAACTGCGTCAGGTAATATAAATTCTGATGAATGTGCACGAATACGAAACAGAGCCTAAGAGAGCCCGCCCTTCGATTGCACAGCGTTTCCAGGAGGTGAACATCAATTTGTTTGCGGAGCCCGATGCCTGCTTCTACATTGAGAATGGCTACTTCTCGCAGAAGCATTTGGCCGCCGAGATGCATGTCTACAATGCCATGTCCGTGCACTGCAAGCTGATGAAGTTCAGCCGCTCCGACTGGAATCGTTTGGCCACGCGACGTGACATTGTCCTGGGGCTGCGCAACCCCAAGGATATGGTTGAGGGTGCCCATATCACGGCCAGGGTGACACCCGAAAGCGCCACCTTTGTGGAGGTCAAAGAGCTCTGCTCCGATAATCTGAATGTGTTCAAACTCGAGTACAAGCCCACTTGGCGGAACGTGGGGGTAAGCAATTCAGACAACTGAGGCATCACTTGCAACGATCCCTCATGCTTTTTTTTGTTTTCTACATCCATTCAGCACTATTCGGACCTGCATCAGCTGATCAACTCCATGTATCCGCATGCCACAGATGTGCGGAATCGAGACGCCAAGCTGATGTACTACATTCGCAAGCTCATGCAGGAGATTCGACCCTTGAGCTTCGGTTAGAGGAGCACAAGCCCCCCCAACAAAAAAATGCATAAACTTTTTAATTAACAACAATTAGAGTCAATTGTCATGCTTCCACTCCCCACACCCCCACCAGCTGAGGGCCCCCATTGGTCTCACTTAACCCGCTTGGCCACGCTTGTGTACCAGGTTCTAGTTGGTTGATTCCCATCCATCTACTCTAGTTCCGGCTGTATAATGCAACGTTTCCTGGTGCTGGTGGCCGCACTATTGGCGGCCGGGCCTGATGTCCATGCGCAGCAGGACAAGCAGAGCATCGATACGGATATGCTAAACAAGCTGGTATTCCCCTCATCGATCCACTCGCGCGTCATTGGCGGTGAGTATACGACCATCGAGAAGCTGGGCGGCTATCTGGTGGCCATGCGCTACCGCAACGACTTCATTTGCGGTGGCACTCTACTCGCGAGTCGCATAGTCCTCACTGCGGCCCACTGCTTCCTTGGGCGCGAAATTGTGCAAAGGTGGGAGGTGCAGGCGGGCGTCTCGGCACTGACGGAGCACGGCCAGCGCGTGCTATTGGACGAGTACATCTCGTCGAGCGGCTTCCGTGAGGACGATATGCACATGGATGTGGCACTGTGCCGGATGCAGAGGCCCATCTGGGGCAAGAATATAATGCATCTGAAGCTGTGCACGACCCAGCTCTCGGTGGGCCTAGTGCTGACCGTCGCCGGATGGGGTCTAATCAATGCCAAGTCCACAAATCACCAGACCCTGCTGCGAAAGGTCCAGGTGCCGATCATAAACAGGAAACGCTGCATGGACACCTATAGGTCCACAGGTGAGTGTATCCTCTGATCTGATCTGTTCTAGTTTCTAATTCCCCTATCCATTTTGGCAGTGAACCTAACGGACAGCATGTTTTGTGCGGGAGTGCTGGGCAAGAAGGATGCGTGCACCTTCGATTCGGGCGGTCCTTTGGTCTACAACAAACAGGTTTGTGGCATCGTTTCGTTTGGCATTGGATGTGCCAGCCCCAAGTATCCCGGTGTCTACACAGATGTCAACTTTGTCGGCCCGTTCATTCAAAGAACCATGGCGCTCTTGTTAAATAGATAGATGTAAAATAAGATTTGCAGTCAGATTTGCTCCACCTTCTGCTGCTGCTGATGCTGCTGCTCCATCCATACTTATTCGACACATTGATCAAGTATATGCCGATTGTACGATTGTATAAGGCAATCTTTGCTGTTAATTAAGAGTTTGTCAGAGTGGCAGTGGCCGTCGTTCCATTTACTTTCTATTCGTGTGTCTTGGCCTTAATGAATACCTCGACGGGACTACTGCTGCTGCTGCCCCTTAATTCGCTTTCTCGACACGCAATGGCACAGGACAGTACAGGACAGGCCGAGACAACATTTTTGGGCGTTAATTGTTGTCATTATTTGCATCTTTCTGCAACTTTCGCGCCCTTCTACTCGGGGCCCATTGCCATTGCGTGCAGGCGGCAGCTCCTTGCTGATCATTGACTGATTCCATAATTGATTGGACCTGGATATTGGAACTTGTGCGGGTCTGTTGGCTCTGCTCCGTTGCTCCGTTGGTCGCTGGTCTCTGGTTTCGTTTTTTTCTTGGCCGAGGGGCACAATTTTAGATCGTTCGACGTCGCTGGTACTTTTACTTTTCTGGCCTGTCTGCCATCAAAATGTAAATTAGCAGGCCAAACGGTGCCCATCGCATGACTGACGGCCTTTCGTCCGCCCTAAACATGGGACCTGAACCTGGAGAGGGACCTGTATCTGAATCTGTAGCTGGAGCTGGAGCTACGTTTGCCGAATTAGTTTAATAATACAATTAATTGTTATTTATAGCTTCCTTTGCGCATCGCAAACGCTGCATTTATCGCTGGGATCGGAGCAGCAGGGAAAGCCTTTTGTGGCAGCCAGACGCTAGTTTGTGGCACGCAAGGCAATTTTGGGGCACAGGTAGAAGTGGCAGAAGTGGCAGCAGTGCTTAACGGTTCACCTAATGATAGAGCAGCCGCAGACGTCGTGGGTGAGGGATAACCAGCGCCAAAAAGAGTATAATTCTGTTGCAGGAATCTCCAGGAGTTGTCTCTAGATTCCTTTCTGCTGCGCCACAGGACATTGGACAGCTTATAAAGGGGGGAGAGGGGCCTACACAAACGACAGACAGTCAGACCGACAGACCGACCAACCGAACGACACATATCCAACATAAATATTCCAGAAATGACACTTTGCTGCCATGTACAGGCCCCGGTGCCATAGACTGGGACCCACTGGTCCCGTGGTGCGGATTCGCATTAAGTTTATTTATCTGCTTTTAAATGGCATTTTCACTTGCATATAATTCTCATTCGCGTGTAATGCGCACCAGAAACAAAGGCAACATAATGTAACAGCCGCCATAACAACACGAAGATGCACACACAGATACACGGATATTGGGCTCTTCCAGCACCCATCCAGCACCCATCCAGCTCCCTGACTGCCATTTACCACTACTATTTTTAGTAGTGTCATAAATTTATGGCACATTGTGGACCCTAGCAGCGCTAGGCTCAGCCTCCGCCTCCGCCTCTTACTCGGAGCTGTTCGGCTCACGTGGTGAATGCCAGTCTGGAGCAGCTCCAACGCAGGCCAGGAAGACAGCCGCCTGGCCAGCAAGCAGGACAGCAGCAGGACAGCAGGAGGTGGCTGAAGCAGAAGGTAGAATATTGGGGCCAACATGCAAAATAACATGCACGCTGGCACCTACTTTGCCAAGCCAGAGATGAACACAGATGAACAGCCTGCCACAGATCGGACTGGAGTGGGACTTGGACTGGGGTGGGGTTACCATGTGATTTGCCAATCAAACAAATCAAATAGGTAGAGCGGATTCGGGTTACAACAGTTTTATAGACAGCATTTCGGAATTGTTAATTAAAAGATACACACAAGGAGAGCATTTGGGAATTTCTATAGAATGCTGCTCGACTTGGCTTGGCCTGGCTTTTGCTTGGGGAGGGCAAAGCAAATGTTTAAGATGGACAAACACTTGATCAATAGCGGCACACTGTGTGTGTGTGTGTGTGTGTATCTGAGAGATACACTTGTGGATTTTTTTTACGATGCGCCGCTCACTGCGTTTCCCCTGTGAGTGGAGCGTCTCGAGTGTTTGCATGGCTTAAAAGCCAATAAAATTGTTGTTAATTGTTTTGGTAAATTGAAAATTAGGTTTTGGGAAAAATCATCACAAAAGTATGCGTAGCGCGCCGCCGGGAAACGAGTTCGAGTTTTATGGCTTTGCTCAAAGTATTAACCCCTAGCCGTTCAGGCCAGGGCCCTAATAAACTTTGTGTGTGTGTGTGTGTGCGGAACCCTCTATGCCGACAGACAATCTGACATTCGATCGACATTAGCGCTCAACCCCCGAAACGAGACAAATCGAATCGAATCGTTTTTGTTGTTGTTGTTCTTTTTTTGCGCTAAAAAAAAGTTCAGTTGAACTTTAATCGGCTTAAATGTAATTTAACTTATTTCTATGATTCTCTCTCTTTTTTCTCTACCCTCTACCCTCTCCCCTCCGTTTCTCCTACCCAGGAACCCAGGGTGGCATTGCTATGTGCCAACAGAAATCGGTTAATTAAAGTTCAACAAAGTTTCAAAAGCGATTTCATGCCGCGTTGAATCAACAAATTGTAAACTTTTCAAACTATTCAGCGCCCCCCTCCCTCTTAGGGAGTGGACTCTGGGCCGCTGTTCTGCTCTCAAAAAGGGGGGCCATCATTTGTACTTACTTAAGTGCTTGATCATGCTGATATCATCACCTGGCTGGCTGGCTGGCTGGCAACTTTCCTTTGTGCCCACTACGTAGCATCAATGCAATTAGCGTGGTCTGCAGACGCCAGGTGGTCTCCACAGTCTCCCCAATTCTCCCAGCCATTCTCCACAGTGACCCGCAATCTTACAAATAAATCGAAACTCACCAAGAATCTGTAAAGAAATAAATACAAGGGATATGCGTTGTATTACATTTTGGGTGCAGCAGATAAAAAGCTAAAAAAAAAACGCAAATGGCGACTTAAAACGATTTGGCAATGCCCTTTTCTCCTTCTAGAATTTCTACCGCTTCTGTTTTAAAATATTATGGGCTCTAGAGAGGACTAGTATCTACTTATTGATCAATATTTCATTGGAGTTAATATTTATGCCTGGTAAATCCTCTATTCATTCGGAATTCCCTGCCTGCCCAGTTGATGTACCCTTTGGGCAGTGTAATCGAACCGCTGTGTTGACAGTTATTGATCGATGATATCGTAAACACAATGTTGAAATTAATTTTCATGTGGCTCTTTCGGTTTTTGGGCCCTCGACAATCTTGTTGAATGTACCTTCCAATTGTACGTGCTCATTGTGTTGACTTGTAATTGCCTTTTATTTTGACTACAGCTGGAAGTCGGCTGCTGGGACTAATGGGCAAGCTTAAGCCCCCCTTTCCCCGTCTGCGGATGCAGCATGCGGCATGCAGCGTACAAAGAGAGAGCGAGAGGGGGAGCGAGCGAAAGGCTCAACGTTCCAATAAGTGACACTGACTAATTCGGAACCATTAATCTCCGAGTGCTTAGCGTCAGACATGCTGGCCCGGTCAGCCATCAATACGCATCAAAATCGAATGCGAATTGTGTGCGGGGTGGGTACGGGGGGGGGCTTACTGTGGCATGTGGGGCTCTCCTATGCATGCACAGAACAGACTCCACTCCACTCCACTCGCCTCCATGCTCCATGACGTATGGGCGACCGCTGCGTCTCGGTTGGGTGTCGGTCGGTGTCTCTGATTTGCCTTCAATCCAATAGCCCATTCCCCCTTTTCCATTCCCATTTCCAGTCTCATTCCTGTTCTCATTTCCGTGGACGTGAACGTCAATGCGGCTGTGCGGCTGTGTGGCAGTGGACGTGGTACAAGGCGTGCAATCAAGCCGTGTGTCTTGGGCAGTCAACTAGTCACTCAGTTGGCTTGCCCAGTTCCTGGGACTGACTGCGTCAGTCCGTCAGTCAAATGCTCGCTTTAATTTCGCTCTACTATGGTCTGGTCTGGTCTGGTCTGGCATGACTACCGGGCATAATTTTTAGCCCGACCCAAACGAAAATATGGACCCCAAAGTGGACTCAGAAAATGAACACATTGCCAGCTTGGCGGCTGCGCACGCGCACAGTTGTTGGCCAGAGTTTTACCTTCCACCGTCCTCGATCCACCACTGTTCATGCACCCATGCTCCCCAGCTCCTCCATGCTCCCCTGCTCCATGCTCCATCCTACAGCGCGCTTTTCGTTCGCTTTGGCCTGGCGACACTCCTAACCGCAGGGCGACTGTGGCTGGGGCTGGGGCCCGTTTTCGATTAACGATGAACGAGTACGGAGGCAACTTGAGCGTGTGCCAGCCCAAGCGAAGTGGAGTGCAGAGAACTAGAGATAGAGCTAGTAAATACACCCAGAGAAATAGTCGGCAGCCTTCATTGGAGTATCGATTCTTCACTCCATCCAGATTGGTCTTTGGTCTGTGATGCTGCGATTTCTCGCAGTGCATGTCCGAGTGAGTCCATGGCAACGCCTTCGGTTTACATTTTACAATCCTAACAAGGTTAGGTCGGCCGATAAACGGAGCTGCTAGGCTGCTGCCTGGGCCGGGACTGTGGCTGGTAGTTGGGGCTGCGGCACATGCCTAACCCAGCACAGAGCTATGCAAACACACTCACACTGCGATACCTTTCCCTGGCTACGAGCTGTACATACAAAATTGCACATTAAAAATGAGGAATGAGGAGCAAGAGCAGCAGCGGCAGCAGCAGCAGCAGGAGGAGGAGGTTGAATCGAGTCGACCGATGTCTTTTTCTGTGGCAGAACAAGGTTGGGGTTTGGGGTTTGGGCTCTGAGCTGTGAGCTGTGGTCCTGGCTCCGGGATTGGGCCTCTGCTGACTCTCTGGTTAATGCAATTCAGGCGAAAGGCGCACAAAGGGACGGCGAACAAGATGCCGAGTGGCTGATTGTGCGAGCAGCGGAGCTTGCGTCAGCTGAGGCAGAGGCAGCCGGAGCCGCAAGAGCTTTTGTCGCTGCCACAAACATGGAATATGACAAGCGAGAGAACCAGACAAGAGGCAAGAGGCAAGAGGAGGTAGGAGGCAGGAGGAGCATGCAAAGCATTGTCAAGTGAGGAAAAGACCAAGTGCCGCAGAAATCCATGCGACAAAAACGGGTAGAAGGAGGAGGAGGAGGAGGAGGAGGAGGTTGTACGGTCGTACGGTGAAGCACGTGAGGAGATGTGGCAGGCTTGAATGTGTGGGCAGCGCTGGAGAGAGAGAGAGGGAGAGGGAGAGCGAGACAATGGCGACAATAAAAATGCGATCGCACAACATGCTCCACAGATAAGTTAACGCAAAGTGACAACGTACAACTTTTAATGGAATTGTCGTCGCAATGGATAGTGGTGGGATGGCAGAGAGGTGAGCCGAGGCGAGGCGAGGCGAGAGGCTGACTGGAAGAGGAGTCGTCTCCCAATTGGGAGCCCTGCCAACTTGGGTAAGGAATGGCATACAGATTGTATAAGGACATGCCGCCAAGGGCCGAGAGACAGGACAGAGACCTTCAAAGGTAGGACAGCAAATGCGGAGGGAACGAACGGACGCCCACGAGATCCCCACCACTCGGGCTTTGGAAAAAGATCGCCTTCGGCAGCTACTGTGGCACATGCCGAGGCGGAACCAACCAGTCAACGATCGCCGAGCGATCAGCAGAATGCAAGAGAGAGAGAGAGAGAGAGAGAGAGCGCGGAACACGACTAAGAACGAGCGCATGCGCATGCGCACACGAAGTGCCGCAACGAAGAGAGAGCCGCCCGATTTGCTCCGATTGGAAAACTGCAGTTGCAGCTGCTCTCTCTCAATGTTCCGGCGTGCCCACGCTTCCAATTGGAGCACTGAGAGAGCACTGCAACGCCGCCGCTGTCGCTGTAGCTGTAGCTGCCACTGTCGCCGCTCTCTGCCCGATCTCTGTCTCTCTCTCTCTCTCTCTCCCTGCCGCCTGCCGCCAGTCGCCCTGGTGTATGTTTTCTGGTCTTTCTGGTTTCTGTTTTGTTTACGATTTTCGCTGGAACGCCGCCACTCTCGTCAGTTTCGCCCCAAACTTGCAACAAGCAAGACGTATGCGCGCGCGTTGTCAGCTGACAGACAAAAAAAAAGCTACAGAAAAGTTCTAAAATTTTTGCGAGAATTTCCATATACAGTGACTGAGATTGAGATTGGGATTGAGACTGTGACTGTGACTGTGATTGACAAGTACTCGCACGATCGACAGATCGGATCGATGTTCGCGTAGTGCGGTGTGTCCGACATATGATGAGCCTGACTGTGCTCTCGCTGCCGCAACGTTTCAAACGCCTCCTGCAAGCCATGTCACTCGCCGTTGCCGTCGTCTATATGACGCTGATGCTCTACCAGAGCGCCTACGGATATCCGGGCATCCAAGTGAGTGAAGAAACACCAGAGAAACCCCCCTGCCCCATGGGTTAGAACTGCCTCTGCTGCATGTGCGTGGGCGCTCTTTTTGCAATTGTCATACGCAGCGATCTGCGCCCCAAATTTGCATGATTCTTCGTACCCAGCTCCAGCTAAGAGTTTCCTTTCCCTACTGCCGCCCGCCTCCCGCCTCCCGTTCGTGCACTTTCATAAATCAACGCCGGCGACGTTTGCAGCTGCGCGCATGCGTCCCACAGGTCTCTGACGTCCGGCTCCGGCCGTTAAAACCTTTTTACGCCCTTGCCTGCGTCTTTGAGGCCGTCTCTGAGCTGGAAATGGAGTTGGACTTTTGCCTTGCATATAAAACAGTTTCGGTTTGGGCTGGTTTTTTTTTTTATATTTTGTTTCTTTCGCTGAGATGCCGTCGGCAGAGCGTCGCCAAAGCTTTCAGTTATCCCCCCGTTCCGTTCCGTTGCGTTCTGCTCTGTTCTGTTCTGTCTGTCAGGCTCTGAGGCAGAGGCCTTTCCTTCTGTCCCTGTCCATGTCCCCCGTTTAATGTTGTTGTTCTTGATTTTTTTTTTTTTTTGTTCGGCTTTGCATAAATTTTTGTGTAATAAAATATTGTGTGCTAATATTACCAGCCATGGGGCAGGAAGGAGTGCAGGAAGGTGGAGTAGAAGAGTCGTAGGAAGAGTCCGGCTAGCGGAGAGTCGCGTCAGCCATATCCACAGATAACGAATAGCGAAGCCACATGGGAATTGGATTGCAGCGCGGCTCTTGTTGCATCCACAAATAGTAAACATTTTTTGTATTTTTGGAAGTGCAAAAATAATGGCAGAGGAATTACCTTGGTAGACTTGGAGACTGATGGAAAGCCCTTTTCACTGTCTTGTTGGTAGAATTTTAGAGCACTTTTAGGTTACATTTTATAATAGAATTTCGGTATCAATTGTTTCTACTTTCGATAAGTTTTTAATCACTGAGAATCCTGGACTTTTGCTACTTTTAAATTGCATTTTTACTTTAGCTGAGAGAATTTTAGACTAATTTCAAGGAAAAACATTTTTAAATACTTTTAAGCCACTCCAAAAAAATATTTTCCACCTAACTTCTAATCTGAATTGTCGAATATTTATTAGTTTTTGGTTGCCTTTGGACCTTGCCTAGTCAAGCTCTGTAAAAGTCGTGTAGAAAAAATATATTTACATACAATTAAGATCAGTTCCTAAGCATCGCAATGTTAATTCCCTCTCGATGAGTAATTCCCGCTTCTGGTGCAACTGCCTCATGAGCAACATTTCCCCCTTTGCAACAGCAACAGCAACAGCATTAATGCCTCATATATGATTCCATTATGATGGAAGCCATCCTTGTTCCCCGAAGACTTTCCATACATGCATATAATTTGCAGGCCCTGCTCTGTACCCTGTATGCCTCTGCACTTGACTCTCTCTCTCTCTCTGTTCTGCGCTGCCCCTGACCGAGCAATTTGCAACTCAATTGCCCAACTTTTGGCTCATCTTTGCCGTGCGGTCTTACACACTGTCTTCCTTCTCCTCCTCTGTAATTCGGCCTCTAGTATAATTAAAAACTTTATGTTTATGTTGTTTTAATTTGGACAACGTTGTGGATGTTTGTGGATGTTGTTGTGGCTGTTGCTTTTGCTTTTGCGGATCTTACAGCTGTTGCTGTTGCTGTTGTAGTTATTGTTTGGTGTGGTGTGGTGTGGGCTAACCGGAAACCCGACAAAAATGACCAGTGCTACATATACGACTCTGCTGCTACTAAATGCTTAACCGGATTCAAAAACTGTTGACAACTGCCTGTTGCTGTTGTAGCACTTTTCAATTGAAGTTCTTTTTCCAACGCAGAGCCTCCTCCTCTTTCCATCAGAGGTCTGTGACTTGTCCCAATTAATTTTTATAGTTGTTTCTGTTGTTTCTGCTGCTGCTGCTGCTGGTTTGTGGCGACCACAAAACTGCATGCAACATACAATTTGTTTAATTTTTTCGTTGCGCAAAAAAATACTGCTGTGTGTTGACTCGTTTCGGATTCCTCGAAACTGGACAACGCCACTAAACTGTGTCTCGATTCTCGTGTGGGGCTGGAGTTGGGCTGGTGCTTGGGGGTTTGGCTTTTCGGGCTGATAAAGCAATAATTTTGAAATTAGGTGTGTGTTGTGTGTGTGTGTTGGAGGGGCGCACTAAGTCCCCCATGTCACGTCTACACTTCGCGTGTGACTGACGCATAAATCATAAACGAAACAAATAATAATCGTCAAACGAATTTGTTTAAAGTGGCGCACAGAATGGTGGCCCGGGTTGGCCTGGCCCCCGGATAGATTGATTCGAGTATGAAGTACGATTACGAGTTGTCGTGGTTCGTTGTGGCCCTGGTAAATACATAATGACAACAGCAACAGCAACAGCAACAAAAACAACAACAGCAACAACAACAACAGTCAGGGCTCTCGAGGCTCTCGAGTTGAGGAGCATGCAAATCAGCGAAGACAGAGCCCCGGCTGCCTGATGATGGGTATATGGGTATGGGTATGAGATTCCTGTTTCTGCCACACGGCTACGGCCCCCGACCAAAAGCAGGTGCCCCAGCCGAGTCCCATGCATCCCAGTCTTTCCCATGACAAAACAAGCTGCAACAGCAGCAACAGCAGCAGCAGCAGCATCTCCTCATTCTGCTCCTCATCTTCTTGCCAACTTGAGAGCCCAAAAAGCTGACGACATTAAGCTGCAGCAAGCGCTTGTAGGCGCCTGATAAAGGCGCAATGTATCTGTATCTTCTGCAGCAGCAACAGCAGCAGCAACAGCAGCAGCAACAGAAGTAGCAGCAGCAGCAGCAGCAGAGTATCTTTTGGTGGTCGCTTAATTGAGCCGACTGCCTGCCTGTGTGCATCTTATCTTAGATTTGTATCTTACGGATAATATTGTTAAACAGCATTTAATGAAGATTTTTCCGCTGCTCGATCTCAGGCTCTCCCTCCCTTTCTCCCTCTCTGCCTCTGCCTCTGCCTCTGCCACTGTCTTTGTTTCTGTCTTTCTCTCTGCCGCCCAGCTGGATGGCAGCTTTTTGTTTTGGGGGTAAGAAATTCTTTTGATTTTTCGCTGATTTATGTTTTCCGTTATATAAAAATCGTATGAGATTTACTCATTAATCTTCTGGGTAGTACGGTGCGCAGATTTGGCGCCCATTTATATCATTCTAACACACCGAACACACACACACACACACACACAAACACCTCTGCTCCTCCTTCCACCACATTGCCCCATCTGGGGCCATAGTTCCCTCCATCTCTGCGCCTCCTCCATCACCAATCTCATTATTAATTGACATGGAAATGTTTATAAACATATTAATCACTTGCCTAATGAAGCATTAGTCACTGGAGTGGGCGTGGAAGGGGTACAGCCTAACCTGTACGATACCCCACAGCGCTTTTAGATTTGTTCGCATTTGATTTGGTTTTCTCTTTTGTATCTTTTGTAGCCATTGCTTGTACTTGTACTCTGTGTGTAGTGTGTGCAGGCGTGCCGCATATATGGGCACACGTCCCGCATCTGTATCTGTATCTATAGCTGTCTATCTGTAGCTGTGTATCTGTAGCTGTGTATCTGAATCCGCATCTGTCGCTTGTTAGTTTCCTCACGTTCCAGTAATTCGCCGCTCGAGCAAAAGTGTCGCAAAGCTTTGGCTGCTGCGGTTCGCCATGCTCTCCATGCTCTCCATGTTCTTCATTTGCATATTATTCTGCTTGCATCCACGACACATTCTAATCCATGCACCATGCTCCATGCACCATGAACCTTGAATATGTTTAGCCCGAAGCCTGAAGGCTGATTGAATGAGGCGTGTTCCGCAGCTGTGGATACGGTGGAGAGGCTTATGCAACCCACTCGACGAGCGGCTTTCACTGCTCCCGTCACGACTTCTCTCGAGTAGTACACACCGAGTATCTTTACCGTTCAGATCTTTATTGGAGCTTGCGATTTCTGCTGCTTTTGGCCAAATTAATATTTCAGCTTTTTAATTGCTTGGAACAACAGCAGAAGCTTCGTTTCAGCTTTCCAATTCCCAGCATCAGCAGCAGCCGTTTACACCTGTGCCCACCACTGTCATATCTCTCTCCCGCCGTCTTTAGGAAGCGGCAGCAGCTTCTGCCCTGAGACCCAATCGATGATCGTCAATTTGGGGGGCTCTATTATATATTGGAACAGCAACACCGTTTTGTCTGTCTGTCGGTCTGTCTGTCTGTCTGTCGATCGTGCGGCCATAAAATTCTATGCGCGAGAGTTCCCAACTTGTGGCTGTCTGCTATCAACGGCAGAATATCGTGTGAAGCAGTTCCCAAATGGGAGAAAGGGAAGAAGATTCACTCTTCAATCTGTGAATGAATTTATGACGGAAGTTGGGCTGTCTGATTTGCATAGCAAACGGGGAAATTCCATGGCGGAAAAGCAGATTCGATTGTTTCCAGGGTACTGGCTCCGTCGAGGTGTCCTCACATCATTCGAGTGCTGTGCTGTGCTGCCACTTATCAGCACTCTTCAATCAGAATCGCCTCAAAGCAAAGAGTCCCCCAACCAAACCAACACCACTCCCCACCTGTCCCCATTCCTGGGGGTCATTAAAGACCAAGACGAAGGAGATCTGGAAAGAGCAATTGAAGAGCCGCCGCCGCCGCTGCCGCCGACGATGAGCATTCAACAAAAGCAAATGAACCTGTTATCAGTGGAAATTAATCAAGCAACGAGCAACCAGCAGGGAGAGCCACCAAGAGGGTTTCCTTTTCTCTTTCCCCCCATCCCCCTCCACAACTGGAACTCTCAGATTCTCCCCACCCTCATACCTATGCCGATTCCGATTCCGATCCCCGTTTTGGGTTTTCTCTCTCTCTGTGTGTGTGTTTGCTCTTACTCAGCATTTATGAGAGGAGGAGAAGGTGGGGAGGGGCTGTTCTTTCTGTTTGTTCTGCCTGCTGCCTGCCTGCCTGCCTGCCTGCTTGCCGCTCATTTGTTTGCCATTGTTGTTTGCCATTGAAGTTCGCCTTTGTTTGCCAGGTGAAAATGCCTCGAACGCCTGCGGAGGAGTTGGACCTGTAGATGATGGGTCGTCTCTCGGGCTCTGTCCCGGTTCTGTTTTCTGTTTTCTGTCTCTCTGTGGCAAAGGCGTCTTCATATTTTTTTATATTGTCCTACGTGCGATTTACACAACAAATTTACATTAACCCTCCCACTCCCACTCTCTCTCTCTTTCTCTTTCTCTCCCTTCTCAGTTGCCACACAGCCAGGTGGATGCAGCCAATGCCAATGCCAATGAACCTGTGACCACACATCGCGACCAGCTGCTCCAGGACTATGCCCTGCACTCGTCCAGCTCCACGCCCACCCAGCCGGCGGCTGCAGCTGCCGCCGCTGCCTCCCCCACCACCGTGATCATCCGCAAGGACATACGCAGCTTCAACTTCAGCGACATCGAGGTCAGCGAACGGCCAACGGCCACGCTGCTCACCGAGCTGGCACGTCGCAGCCGCAATGGGGAGCTGCTCCACGATCTGTCGCAGCGAGCGGTGACGGCGACGCCCCAGCCGCCCATCACCGAACTGGATGACATTTTCATCAGTGTGAAGACAACGAAGAACTATCACGATACCCGACTGGCGCTGATCATCAAGACCTGGTTCCAATTGGCCCGCGATCAGGTGAGAGAGAGAGCCCCTAAAGACTTCCACTCCGGTGGAAGATCGCTGATTAGTTTGCAGCTAATTTTCCGACTCGTTCCGAGTGGGTGGCCGACAATTTGTGTGGGGCTAAGTGGGGACTATAGGCCACCAGCTAGCAAGCGACAGCCCAAGCGGCAAAGGTTGCCCACAGATTTCATTCGAAAGATTTGCCAGTCTCCAAAAAACAAAACCAAAAAAACAAAACACAAAAACAAAAACAAAACCAAAACCAATTTGCATAATGAGTTTTTAAGCTGTCTGGAATTGATTCGATTTTGCAGCTCTTTTTCTTTATTTCTTTTATATTTGGGTATCGTTTGGGCTATTTATGATTTCTGTGGCCGTCGCTTAATTGGCCATAAAAATGTCTTCATTCATTTTGTGGCCCAAACTTGCAAATATATTGGGAATATATTGGGGGAAATCTGCTGTTTGATGGGGGGGCTAATAGAGTTTGCTTTTGAATGGATAAACGCTTTTGTTTCCGATTTCATTGGGCCCCACATTTAATCGAATTTCTGTCTGTCTGTTTCAATGGGTTTTTGTGTGTTGGGTGAAAGGAGGATTGTGGCAGCAGCAACATGTCCCTCCTCCTCCCGACCCCCTGCCTCTCTGTGCTCCTCTGTGAGTGCCAACTTATGCAAAATCACGCGTCACAAATGTGTTTCGTTATTGTTTACACAAAACTGCACTCTACACTGCAGTCCTCCTCCGTTGACGTTGCATGCAGCAAACAACAAAAACAACAGCAGCAGCGACAGAAAAAACAAAACATCTGAACAACACACAAATAAATAACCCCAAAGGGAATTGCCTGTGGTTGTGTGTCTGTGTGTGTGTGGGTTATACTCGTACTCGTACCTTTTTGAAAATTGTAAAAATGCTTGACGAGCACGTTTCCTTCAGGCAGTTAACAGCCCCCAAAGCAGGCCCTGTAACACTCTTGTATACCCCGTAAATGGCAGAATGCACAACAAGGGTATGCGCTGTTTGTGGGAGGGAGCAGAAATCAAGGCATATAATGCATGTCTATACAACTGGGAACCTAATAGATCAGCAGATAGATCATTTTATACGCGTACTAGTCCCACTGGAAGAGAGCAAGTGGTAGAGCTTTAAAGAGAGAGAGATAGAGTGAGAGATTTGCTGCTAAGCCACACTGGGAAACAAAGGCGCTGAGTGCGTCGCCTGTGGTTCACCTTCTAGCAGAATATCCTATCAAAAGTACTGGGTATACTAGTCCCACTGGGAGAGAGCAAGCGGTAGAGCTATATAGAGAGAGAGAGAGAGAGAGTGAGAGATTTGCTGCTAAGCCACACTGGGAAACAAAGGCGCTGAGTGCGTCGCCTGTGGTTCACCTTCTATCAGAATATCCTATCAAAAGTACGGGGTATCTTTTAGCTGCGAATATTCAGTTGTATTCACAATTTGTGCCCTCTCATATTTGCTTACCACACACACCAGAGCAAAGCAGCAGAGGAGGCTTTTAGCTCTAATCGGCTATCGTTATCGGTATCGATTGTTCGCTACCACATCGATTGTTAATTTTCTCACTAAAAACGGCATGGGCATCGCATTCACCACCAGCCAGCCAACCATCCATCCATCCAGCATGGACAAGCAAGCATCCATTTCTCTCCTTGCCAACCAAACAACAATTGATCGCTGCGCTGCTGCTGCTGCTACTCTTGGCCAATTATTTTGATGGAAACTCTGTGGGCTGTTGTTGGCCTGTCGATGATGCCGTGTGTGTCGACTGTTGCTGTTGCTGTTGGTCCGTCATTTGCCGTGTGGTTAACAACAATGTGGAGCAGCGCGACAGGCAACAGCAACAGTCAACAGTCAACAGGCAGCAACAGCAACTTTAATGTTGCGTTCGCATTTGATTGGCTGTGGCTGGGGCTGTGCGCCTGCCGCATTTGAAACAATTTGTTGTAATTGCTGTTGGTGTTGTTGCTGCTGCTGTTGATTAATGTTTCGGCCCATAAATGGGCAGAGGCAACAAACCAGATCCATGTGGATCTGTCGTCAAACTGATTCCCAATGACTGTCAAAGGCAAACGCACAAGGAGAAGGGTATTCATTCCCCACTGATACTATCTATATTAAGGGGTGCCTGGGCATTCTCTTCACTTAAAAAGGAAAACAAAAGATTGCTTAGGGGTGCAACTGCATTTGGAATGGGGAGTTCTTCCTCAAGAGGTCATGCTGCAGCATGCACCTGAACCTGCAGGGATCTTGCTTCAGTTGGGGATGTTTGAGCATTCTCTGGCCGTCCTAAGGGATGTGTGGAAAGTGCATTACGTGCTGTTTTTCTCCAACCAAAAAGAAAAACCCCCACAGATCCAGAGATCTCCGATACACCGCTCCCTGCTGCCAGTCTGTCCAACCGGCCACAGGCTTTCATGAATGATTCAAATTTTTCATGCTTACAAATGAGCATAAATTACTGTAAAGAGTTTTGGCCAAAACTGTAGAGGCCCAAACGGAGCTCTCTGGACTTTGATTGAATGCCCCAATGCGGCGTCGCGCGGGAAATCGCTTTGCATTTTGGGTTTTGTATTACCATTTGGATTTTCCGCCGCCTGAGCCCTGGGACTCCTGCACTGACTTTTTGGCTACCGTCTGTAACGGATTTGCATGCCCCTTGAAAGTCGTTTGCTGCTGCTGCTGCTGCTGCTGTTGGGGTCTCCATAGAGACCACAGCCACAGAGCCAGAGCCACAGCCAGAGAGCAGCCACCGCAAAACGCATGTCAAATGTCAGGCAGTCGCTGGATTTGTAGATAGATCGGGGAACACCGACTGACAGCTGTCCGTGGAGTGTTTCGAGAGGGGGGGTCTCCGCTTGGTCCGCTGCTTGGGCTCCCTCCGTTTCCTGTGGGTGGCTGTCCGTGTCTCGATTTGCTTGTCTTGATTTACCATTTACTATTTATTTTTAATGAAGTGTACCCCATGTACCACACGCTGCCAGCCTGCCTGCCTGCCTGCCTGCCTGACTTATTGTTTGATTGATTCACAGAGAAGTTTTGGAGTCGATTCGTGGCGGTCCTTAAGTTTTGTCGCTTAGTTCGCAGACTTCGCATAGCTTGAAGCATTTTATTAGCTCTGTGGAAAACTATGCCGTAAAATTTTGCGCTTGACCGATGCCTTGCGCCTCTCGTTTTTGGTGTACGCTTTTCTCGGTGTACCCCATAATGCCCCATGCGTCACACAGTGGAGTCTCATTAACCCTTCTTCTACTTTTTGTTTCTTCTTGATTCGCATTTCTCTGTAGTTTTTCGCTTTAATGTGGCTGCCACAAGTTTCAGCACGTAGCAGTAGTGCTCCAGCGACCAGAAGTCGCCGCCAAATCTGCGCGACGCGTCGCCTGGCATGTTGACAGACAGACAGACAGTCAAACAGACAGAGAGGGTCCCACTGTGTACCCAGTCAAGGCCCCGTGATGAATCACTAGATGGGGCCGGACAACGGACCATGTCATCTGCTCATAAATAAGGAAACAGAATCGCGCATATGACAGCCAGGGCTCTGCTCCGCGCCTGTCGCTGGTTCCTCATTGTTCAAGTTTTTAGCTGTCGTCCGGTACGTGGGCTTTGATTTGCCTCCTCCTCCTCCTCCTACCGAGTGACCATATGGCATATGTATGCCCGTCCGGGGAGTAGTAGATGCCAGCCAAATGCCAATTAAAGCTCAATTAATGGACATAGTCTCTACCAAAAGTGTGCCGCCAACGCACAAGAGCCATACAGATACATGCAGCTACAGTACGTTTCGTAGAAATAAGCCCAAATATTCAATAAGTAGATCTTAGAGTGAGAACAGTTGGCTTATAACTTCTAGGTGCTTTTTTTCGTATTCGGGATGGATATGTCCCTTGAAAGTGAGTATTCCTTTGACAGTCTACATATATAGTTATGTACTGCACTGTATCTCTTTATCTGGTATATCATATAGTAACAGCCCGTGCCTGAACCTCTTCTCGTGCTCTCATTCTGCTGCTGCTCTTCCTCTCTCTCTCTCTATCTCTCTCTCTCTATCTCTCTCAATGCTCTTCAATTGAATTCAATTTCGCATTAAATTGAAATTTCAATTGTTGGCTTTTGTTGCATTTTGCGGCATTTTGGCGGCGACACAGATCCATCCATTCGTCAGAGCAGCCGCTGCCGCCGCTGCTTTCCACCCGCATATGGAACTTCCTTTTTAATGTGGAACAGTGCCTGCCGCCAAGCATCGGCCATGTGCATCCCACTTGTATATTGTCTGTTTTCGTTTTATCTTTTATCCAAAATTCAATACACAATTTATCTCCGTCGCTCGTTTCTCAGTGCTTAATCACTTTTCCATCACATTCACTGAATGTCTCTGAATGAATCAAATGAATACACATTTATTCTCAGCCTATTTGATGCACAACAAATCACACAAGTAATTGATTCATTTGCCTGGTTTTCTCTGTTTCTCTGTTTCTCTGTTGTATTTAACACTCTTGTGACGGCATGCCCCTCGGCGGCACAGCTCAGCACAGCCCATCACAGGTGCAGACAGAACTGCTGCTGCTGCCCCGCCAAAACCTATAATTAATATCTGACTGAACCTTTTTTTCATGGGGATCTCGTAGCTGAGAAAGATTACGCAAAATGTGAAACGCCCCTCACTGGTTCTTGTGGTTTAGTGCTTCTTGAATTGAATTGGTAGATGAGTGCTCACGCGAGCCCCCTCTGCTGATGGGTAGCTCATAAGAATGGAGTTCTAGGACTGTGGTTCTTCTGTCTATTGAACTACCAGAAAGTCTTTTTGCCTTTTCCTTTTCCCTTTTTTTTTTGCTCACAAATTGCTCACTGAACTTGGGTGCTGAGCGGCGAGTACTCCTCTCCCTGGGTACTCTTTTTTGGCATTAACCAAATTAGTCACATCCCAGGCGGCTGGCTGGCTTATTCATTTGGAAACTTTCACTCGAGTTGGAGTCCGAGTGGAGCTTGGGCTTGGTCTTTGGACACAACAATTTTGGGGGTTTGGAAAGCATATCCATTGGCCAGGCCCATGCTACACGCCCCTTGTGCATAGATTATAATTTTTCGGCCACTTTTCGTTTGGGGCTGGCCAATGCACAAAAATGTGGCCGAGCCTGAAACATGGACCTGGACGTAGACCTGGACCCTGGACCCAAAGTTAAAGCTGTGGGTAGAGCTAAAGCTATAGGACTGTGGGAGGAGCAGGGGCAAGGGAGGAGCTGCTGCTGTTGGTCCAGATGTAAGGCTGATCGTCCAGCTGCAAACCGCAGACGGAAAATGCGCACAGCGGCTGCCGGCCTCGAGGTGGTGCATGCAGCAAACGGCGGCGGTGGCGGCGGCGGCGGCTGGCATGGCTGACCGCACCCCACGTGCTTTCAGGTGGGAGCAGAGCAGAGCACAGTGTGAGGGGGGGTGGCTGGAGGGGCTGCAAGGGTGGGCATTAAATTTTAGCGCGACCGAGAAAAACAAAGCGAACGGGGCAAATGGCCAAAGAGGAAAAACGCCAAAAGCCAAAAATGCTTCGATGGTTTGTCCAAATGGTTGGCCACAGAGTTGCCAGCCCAGCCCGCCTTTGGGGCAAACTGCCGCAGCTGCAGTTAGAGACGCAGACGCCGACGCCATTGAAAATGCATTCATTGTTGGTCCGAGAGTCAGTTAGCCAAGTGCTGGAGCTAGGAGTTGGGGCTGCTGTTGGTTTGGCTTGTGCTTTTTCCCCTGCTGTTGCTGTTGCTGGGGCTGCCTCCGCTGCCTCTGCTGCTGCTGGCTGCTGCTGCTCTTTGGGCGCCGAAAACATAACGAATTGTTGTGGCAATCGCTTCGTTCCAATTGAATGCCTGCCACGCCATGAAAATCCAACCTAAACTTAGCTCTCTCTCTCTCTGTCTCTCTCTGCTGGGGCCCAAAAGTGTCCGGCAAATTTATGAGCACATGGCAAATCCTTAGCGAAGCACTTGAGGATAGCTCTGCCCATCGATCCATGAGATACTGCCAACTCTGAGATTTGTTTGTCAATGTCTATGGGATTGAGTTTCCTGCTTTCAATTAACTTGGCCCAATCGATGCCATGTCGCACTCTCTCTCTAAAGAACTGTATTTATGGGACAGCTCCATCAGTGCGGGGCCGAGTCGAGCCATAAATTTGCGAGACACGTTGTAATGCTGTTTGTCAACGGTTTGAACAGTCACATAAATTAAAAGCTACTCAAGTGCGGACTGGCAACTGCTGCTGCTGCTGCTGCTGCTGCTGCTGCAACAACAATAGGAGCAACTGCAACAACAAGCCGGCAACTGCAACTGCAATAGCAATAGCAACATGGTGTTAACATTTTCGCCCCTAAGGCGGAGGGAAGAAGCGTCAGAGGCGGCAGCAGCAGCAGCCTCCGTCGCCAAAAGAAAAAGTAGAAAAAGTAAACTGCAAAAATCTCGTAAAAATCCATGAAAATTCAGCAGACGACGATGAAAACTTTTAGCAGCAAGTTGTTGCTGTTGTTGCTGTTGCTGCTGTTGCTGCTGTTGTTGCAAGTGGTGTTGCTGTGTGGCAGTTGTGTATAAAGAACTCCAAATGGAGGCGCACTGGAACTGGAGGCACTGCAAAAGTTGACTTTCTAACTGTTGCAAGTCGTTTCTCAAAATGCTTGCGGAGCGGGCGTATTGTTTGCCCAAGTTGTTGCTGCCCCTACTGCCGCTCCTGCCTCTTACTTCTACTTGCTGCAAAAGACAGCAACATGGCTAACAACAACGAGGCAACAGCAACGGGGCAACAACAACAACAACAGCGGTGCAACAGGGCCAACAACAAGCTGTTCGTGTAGTTGTCAAAGCTTTAAAACGATTTTCGCCTGATTTGACACACAGGCAAAAAAAAAACAAAACAAAAGCAAAAAGCAAAAAAAAAAGAAAAAAGGTTATTAAGGGAAACCCAGAGACAGGCACAGACTTAGGCCGATGCCAGTCGTGAGGAGGGGGGTACAGTGTTTGGGGGCCAACCAATTGAGTTGTTGGGCTAACAAATTTATTACGAGAAAGAGCAGCAAAAAATAGAAAATAGGAAAAATAGATAGAAATGCAAAATAGCTAAAGGGAAATGTCACACGGGCAAAACCGCCAAATAGATTTGAAGCCAAGGTGAAAGCCAAGAAAGCCGCCAAGAGAGCGACCGACCAACCACTAATGAGGAGATTCCCCCCATAAGAACGTAGGAAAAACCGAGCACAGGGCAGAACCCTCTCTACCGCAGTCAGCGATGCATGAAAGAACCCAATGGGAGAGCCACCGCCAAAGTTGACTGATTTCTGTGGGCCACTTCTTTTTTTTTTCTGTTTCTGTTTCTGGCTTTTTGCTTGAGTTATTTCTTCAACGGGCTCCCAGCTCCCAGCTCTCAGCGACGTAGACGCATTCGTAGACGTGTAGTGGCCAAGAAGGGTGTGTGGGAATTTTCTTATCTGATTGCCGGACGCTGGCTGATTCTTGTAGGCCGCCGTCGCCGTCGCCGCTGTGTTCGTTTCTTGTTTAGTGTCTTCGAATAATTAAGTTCCAGTCCGGGGGCTGTAAAAATCACAAGTGGTTTCCCAGGCTGCTTTCTGCTTTCTGGTTTCTTTTTTTTTTCTCTCTCTCTTGTAAATTTACATGATTCATATGCAAATTTCGGTAAATCGTCTAACTTTGGTTTCTGTTTCTACCCATATTTTGCAGACCTGGTTCTTTACGGACACGGATGATCACTACTACCAGGAGAAGACAAGTAAGTAGAGATAGATATAGATATAGATATAGAGAGGAAGCCATAAGTTATTTCCCGCAGTGGCACCCGCACCCGCACCCGCGCTTTCTGTCCTTCTGCTTATTTTATGTTTAAATAAATCCAAAAAGAGAGAATGGAAAAACAAATTTATCATAAAAGAAGTTCTTTATACCTGGGACCTTCGGCGACCTCTTACCTTTTGGATTCGATCCAAAATGCGATCCGTTTCGTTGGCTTTGGGCCTGTTCTCAATTTAGTTTCACATCAGCCAAGGGTCACGCCCACAGCACCGCCTAATATTGGCCACTGTCTGTTGGGCAGGCAGGCAGGCAGCAGCAGCAGCAGCAGCAACAAACAACAAACAATCCGAAAACCGATTAAAGTTTATAAATTCCATCATCTCTATAGAGACAGACAGTGAGAAAGAGAGAGTGTGAGTGTGTGTGTTTGGAGGAGACCGGGGAACTTCATCACTCACCCGCATTTTAATTGAATTGCAGGCTCAGGGACTGCGCTTCGATTTTCAAACTTTAACCAAAAATCCTCCAACACACAGCAGAGCAAAGCAGAGCGGAGCAAAGCAAAGCAAAGCAGAGTGAAGCAAAGCAGAGAGTTTAATTAAAAAAAGTTCAAATTTCAATTTTTGCTTAAACAAAAAATTGTATTCCATTTTTGCATACACTTCAGCAGACACAGCAACAACAACAACAACAACAACAGACCGACAGACAACATAAGAGGAAAGATCTGAAAAGAGCAGGGAGGCTGAGACGATCTCAGGTTTCACAGCAGACAAAGACACAGACACGGGACTCGACTCGTCTCAGCTCCCCTTTTTGGGGCTGGGGCTGAGGCTGTGCGTTTTTGGTATTTTGATTAGGCCGAAAGCTGGCCGAAAGGATTCTGCTAAACACGCTCGGGGATTTTGAGTTATGTGTGTGCGCCCCGCCGACTGGACAAAGGATAAGGAAGGTTCTCTCTCTCTCTCTCCCTGTCTCTCTCCCTGTGTCCGAGTGTGTTCTCAAGTATTTCAACAATTTTCATCCAATTAAGGCGCAAAAGTTTTTGTGCGTTTGTGCTCTGCTTTCAGTGACTGCAGCCCCTGTCCCTGGCCCTTACCCTTTCCCTGTCCATCTTGCATCTTTATCGGCGGCGGCGGCTGTCAAACGATACAAAATGTATCCGCTGGATATGAGCGGCATTCTCGACTAACAAGCTACTGTTCGAGTTGGTTCTGTTCGGTTCTGTCCTGTCTCCTGTTTTGGGGCGATATGAACTTGGCCTTTTAGTTAATTAACATAGAAGTGGAGCCATGCCAATGCCACTCTGCCACTGCCACTGTGACTCCTTTCTGTTGCCTGTTGCCTTCGTTGGCTTCTGCTTAATTACCAATCTTTATCAAAATGTTTATCCCCCCTTTCCCTTCTACTTCTGTTTCTCCGTTCCAGAGGGCCACCTCATCAACACCAAGTGCTCCCAGGGCCACTTTCGCAAGGCGCTCTGCTGCAAGATGTCCGCCGAATTGGATGTATTCCTGGAGAGCGGCAAGAAGTGAGTATTGCATACGATATTGATTGGGAGGGGGGGGGACTTGGGATTCCCATACTCTCGTACTCGTACGTGTGCTGCCTCGTACGACTTCAATTTCATGCAGAATTACTGCATTAGCAGGCAGCAAGAGGTCATGTTGCATGTTGCAGATGGGCATGCCGCTGCAGGGTATGCCCCCTAAAATGTTGTCATATTTGCCAGCCTTAATGTTCATTCGATGCATTTCTGTTTAACAACTTGAAGAGCATCGCCGAGAGCAATGACTCCTTTGGCTGTGTCTGTGGCTGTGGCTGCTGCTGTTGCTATTGCTGCTGCTGTTGCTATTGCTGCTGTTTCTGTTTCTGTAATAATAGACTTTAATGCTTTTAATAAGCGACCGCAGAGAAGCCCATCACTGGCAATCTATCCATGGGCAATGGCAATACAAAACACCCAGTTCTTGGGCTCTTGTTCACTTGGGCTCTCTGTGCTGCAGCTGCCATGCGTTCTAATTTGCGCAATTAAGACGCTGCAACAGCAGCAGCCCCCCAACCAGCAATCCACTCAAAACTTGTCCAGCTTCACCGCAGCCAGAGAATAAAAGGAGCGGACCAGCAAAAGACACTTCAACTAGCGCCCAAAGGAGCAGCCGCCTAGACATTCTACTCGTTTTGTTGATGTACCCTCTCTACGCCGCTGAGGGTGTATCATGATTTGAACAAGCAGCTGAGGGAAGAGCATGTCCAGCTGCCAGTAAAGATGGCCAACAGAGGAGCAATCCATTTGCCAGGGTATCAAAAGCCTCGCAATCCAAAAGGCCTGCTGTCCGCCTTTCTGGTTTCTGCGGCCATGGTCCCTGCCTCCCTTCCCTTTCGCTTATTTGTAATTACACTGAGCGCAGCAGCAGCAGCAGCAGTAGCAACAGGAGGAGCAGCCACAGAGGCACACAACATCATCCAGAAATCTAGAACAACTTGGACATGCTTGGACTCTAGATGATGGAGGATGGCGATGACGACTGGATGGCTGGATGGAGGCTGCTGCTGCTTCTGCTGCTGCTTCTGCTGCTGCTTTCATCTCAAGTTGACTTGCCGTTTTGGCTTAGAACTTGAAACTGTCATTATACGAGCGCGGAGCATGCAATCAATAGCTGCAACAGCAAATGCAACAGCAACAAAAGCAACAACTGCAAGCAGCAGCAACAATTTGTGTTGCTGTGGTACAAAACTGAAATAAAATAAATGACCAGCAATGAAAATGTGCAGTTATGAGCCAGATGAGGCACGGCAGTGTGGCTGCCACACTGGGGCGCTGCTGGTGGCTGGCTGCTTGGGTACCAAAATGATATCAGGTGGCACAGGAAACTGAACTGAGCATCCTTCTCCGCCTGATTGGCAACGTTTAAAACTTGGCTCATTTTGCTGCTGCAACAGCAGCAACAGCAGCAACTTATTGAGGATCTCCTCATCTGGATCCCAAAACAGAAATCCAGGCGAAACATGAAAAAGAGGTTAATTAACGTGCATTCGAACTGGCAATTATGCCACGCTGTGTTGCCCCCGCCCCACTCCACGCTCCAGCACTCCCTTGTTGCTGCTGTTGCTGCTGCTGTTGCTGCTGCTGTGCGTACAGCAGCAACATGTTGCCGGGAATTGCTGTCTGGCTGGCAGCCGTGGGGCGTCTCCGCGTCTCCTGGCCCCCAAAGTAGCTCTATTAAATGCAAATCTGACCAGTTCTTTTAATTGCGTTTTGTTACGCGGCGTAATGCAAATTCATTTGCCATAAAACATGAATTATTTGCTCCACTGTGCGAACGCGGTGAACAGGGAATGGAACAGGGGAGCGGTGAAACGAACCGCCTTTCGTCTTGCATTGCCTTGAATGGCTAATTGCAGTGGCAGTGCAGCAGCAACAGCAGAGAGCAGCCATGTTGCTGTCGGTGTTGGGTATCCATTATAATGCCGAACAATTAGTGCAATTTAATTAAAGTTACAACAGCAACAACTGCAAGTCATAGAAGACATAGACAGACAGCAACTAGGCGATGACCTGGCACGTCACTCCTATCTCCAATCCCTCCAGTCCTCAGTCCCCAGCTCCTACTCCAAATCAACCGACGGCCAGTCATCAATTATAGACCCCCGCTCGGACAGTGTTCATAAAGAAATTCCACATTTTTAGGGGGGCGCCAGAGGTGTTTACAGTGGGAATGGGTGCGTCCCACTGTGCGCGACAGTGGAGCGTTGGAGCGTTGGATCGCTGGAGCCTTGGCTCCACGATTTATTAATTAGTTTTGTGTGTTTTTTCGACTCTAAATTCCTTTCCTTTCCTCCCTGCCTGCCTGCCTTTCCGCCTGCCTACCTAATCTCATTCGATTTATTCGTTTCAAGTTCTAATTTATCTTTTGTTTCTGCTGAGAGTGGGACTCGGATTGGCTTTGGGTGTGTCTGTATGTGTGTGTGCCACACCTAACCTTATGTATAAAGCTGATACATACATACATGCATATGTATACTCGTATGGCCGGGCACAAACTTGTCAGGCCAATTGTATAAAAAGCCACTTATCTGATTGCAATCCGAGGTTGAATGGCGGGGACTGGTCTCCCTTTCGAATGACGCATCCCATGGATCCCAGAGAGTGCCGTAGAGAGTGTCGAGTGCGGCACGTTTCGTAATCAACATTTTGACATAATAACGGCATATCAACTCCCCACTCTCCCCTACCCTGTGTGGGTAATTACAACACGTAATATGCGTAATATTCACAGCATAAAATGTAAATGGAACAAAGAGATGGGGGCATGGGCATGGGCATGGTGGATGGAGATGGTGATGGTGATGGAGAGCACAAGGATGGGCCCATCAGCGGCATCGGCATCAATCAAGGCAAAGTCAAAGATATAGCTCCCAGAGCTGAAGAAGTGGAGTCCAAAGCTACAGCCAAAACTGGCATGAAACGGAGGCCAAAGCCTGTCTGTCCCTCTGTCTGATGATAATGAAGTTACATGCTACTTAAATTTTTGGCCCTGTCTGTCAGTGCCCCCTCGTTCCCTACCTCCCTCCCTGCTGCTGCTGCTGCCTGTTTTTGTGGGTGCGTGGGAATCGAATGATGGCCTGGCTATCAATGAAAATTTCCCAGGGTAAGAGGCGCCCTTTCTCCACCCTTCAACGGCTGATTGCCACCGCAACTTGTTGCTCTGCTAATCCCCACACTGAGCCGCAATAAAATAATAAAGAAAGACAGCAGACAGCCGCAGCAGACATACAGTCGGGCAGTCGAACAGTCAGACAGTCAGTCACACACTCCAATATCCATCTAAGGCTGCGACATTTTTAATCGCTGTTCCGTAATGCACTCGACTGGATGGCACAGAGGGGATAGAGACATGAGCATTCCGTGGCATACTCGTACTCTCCTATGTGGAAAGCCAGCCCCAGGCCCAGCATATGTTGTGGCAATGTGTGAGAAAATTTTCCTTCTTTTTGCGGCCAGGGGCAACTATTTATAGAGAGAGCGCGCGAGAGATGCGTGTGAAGTGTGGAGAGACTTTTCCTTTAGGGGGGGAAAAAAGAACCACCAACCAAGGGGGCGACACTTCCACAGGCAACGCATGAGAGAAAAGCATCAATTTCATTTATTTGCCACTTGTGGCAGGCAACAGAAACACAACAACCGCAACAACAACGCCCCATTATCCAATTGATTCGATGTGGGAGAGGAGAGAGCAGTGACAAAAAACGAGCTGAAATCTTTGTCAGAATTGTGGCAGCGGAAGCAGGCAATTTGCGTGCAACGCAACTGTTGCAAGTGCAACAGCAGCAGCAGCAGCAGCAGCAGCAGCAGCATTTGCATGCGGAGTTTTCATTAGGAAATGCATCTGAATCTGCATCTGATGGATACTCCACGCGATACTCCACATACTCTCTCCACATCCGGGAAGTTGCTGGGAGCAGAGTTGCTTTGCTCCACATTTCAATTAGCGCCTGCCACAGTGCCTCCCACAGAGCCACCCACGAGCGGCATAATCCGCGACAATTGCCTTCAATTTGCAGGCTTGTTGCTACAATTCACACTTGAGTCGCTGCCACCGGCCACTGGCACTGCCTTAATTAATGATTTGCTTTTGTCAGTGCCCCCTTTGGCACTCTGCCTCTGTGGAGCGCATTTGTCAAATGCATTTCAATTGTTTAGTTGAGGGGCAGAAGAAGTGAAACGCTTTTTGTGTTGCGAGTGACTGCCAGAACTGCTGCAGCGGGTGCGCAGGCGTGCAGGCGTGCAGGCGTGCAGCTTGCCGCTCCATAAATCTCTGACTCATGGCACTGACTGCACTCAAAGATGAGAAAGCAAAGAGGCCCTCCCCCGGGTCCATCGAAAACTGCATACAAAATGTGAAGATTAATTTCCCTTTCGCTGTTGTCTCTGTCCCCATCTCCGTCTCCTTCTTCTGTTTTGTTGTTGTCTCTGTTAATGAGGCAGACATCGGACGACGGACAGCATTCTGGATGTTTTGAGTGGTCGGACAGACTCCTGGCTTAATGTAAATATCTTGTTGTCTGTTGTTGTTGCCCCTTCCCTGGGACCAGCCTCGGACTACACATTGATTTGTATCAATCCGCGAAACTGGCATCCGAAAGATACTTATGTATAAACCAAAACTCTGCTCACACTGCTCACACTCCGTTCGCCAGATGACAGCTGACTTATTGCTAATTGCAAGAGCCTCTCAAAGGAGACAGAGACCCAAACGAAATCAGTTCGTCATCGTCAGCCAATGGACACTGGGCACTGGGCACTGGGTTTTCGGCGATCGCTTATCTCTCTCGCCTGCTGTCAAAATACTTTTAGCGCTGACTGTGTGCGCGGAGCAACTTAGTTGCCTGTGCAACGCTCTGCTCTCTTAATGCGAAATCTATTAAGAGTCCGGGGACTGCCGAGACGCGCATCGCGCACAGTTTCTCCTTCTGCTCTCGAGTTGAAGTGCCCCGTCAATCATTTTTTATTGTGGCTCCAGACATAAACTCATTTCGCCTGCTATGTGGCACGGACTTGAACGGGAATTGGGAATTGGAATGGCATGGAATGGTATGAAATGGTATGGTATGAAGGCAGCCGCCGCCAACGCCCCGGGAGCGGGTTTTTGGGGGGCACACAAACGGATGGAGCAGCTGGCTGGCTGGCTTGGCTGGCTGACTGACTGCTGATCGAAATCTGCCCACATCAGAGCCAGTGCGAATAATTGGAAAAACAGCTATGGAAATAAACTAAACCAAAAGATTGCACTCGTTTCGTATATCAACACACACACGCACACACACACACATGAAGAGTTCTCTTCTGCTGCCAGAGAGTGGGGCATGCAACGAACGATCCAACGATTCCCCAAATCGATAACCCAAAGAACTCTTCCAAATGAAAACATTTTCATAAGTGCCACAAAGACATCAGAGTGGGCATGGAATGGTGCTGGGTGGGCAGAAGAGACACAGGCGGAAGGAGGGGGGAAATACGAGCGTTAATTAAACGACAACGAACATAAAATAGCGGCTAGATTTCAATTTGGAAAACGAGGGAAAGCCGCAGCAGCAGCTGGGAAGCCGGGGAGTCGGTTGGGTAGATGGGTTATGTGCTCTGCGCATAATTAAGCAAATTAAACGCGCATTTTTATGCGTCACGAAGCGACTCCAAGCGGGGAAAAGACAGTGCCGCAGCTTGTGGCAGAGAGAGAGAGAGAGAGACAGAGAGAGGGACGCGGCTGCCGTTTCGCACAGGTATCGCATGTGGCAGCCACAACATCGGCAGCAAACAGGCAGCCATAGACACAACATCGAAACAGCAGGCAATTTATGAATGCCAGGCTTAGGCAGTAGTATCTACGAGTATCTATCTGCCCCCCATACACACACACACACACACACACACACACACACACACACACACACACACACACACCTCGTAGCTAACTCCCTGGCATCTGTAGTCGCGGCTTATGCAATAAAAATTATATTAAATTACCCAACGAGAGACGCCAAGACAAGACAAGACAAGACAAGAAAAGCCATTGCCAATCCTCCCCAATCCCCCAAGATTCGATTCGATTTTATTGAATACTTATGGGCTCAACGAAAGTTGCTGCCACAACCAAAAGTACAGAGAGTCGCAACGAAGCTGGGCATACCCTGCACGGGACACGGGGCATAAAGAAAGGCAACTTACTTGTGCCAGAACTTTTTCTGCCACTGAAAATCGCTTCCGTCTGCCCTTCCCCCACACGAGTTTCACATTCCCTCCCTCCCCCCAAAGATATTCTGATTTCTTATGGCGCTGTCCAAGATCAGTGCCAAAGTCGAGGATCCCGCGCGCAGCTCGCTGGCACCCAGCCGGGCACTCTGCAGCTCTGCCACTCTGCCAGCGTGGACGACCTTTCAGCTGGCGCGCTTAATGCCATCATTAGTCCAACGCTGGCTACCGGATATGGCTGATCGTTTGTCACTATAAAAACAGCAACTGCAGCTGCAACCAGTAGGGGGACTGTCTCCATCTCCTCCCTCCTTGCTCCTGCACCTCTGTGGCGGGCTGCACGGTAATTGCAATCTAAATTAGTGCACTTTTTGTTGTTGTTTGTTGTTTGCTGTTGCACGCTGCTTAACGGAAACAGCCTTGAGAGTGAGTGACCGCCGGAGAGACAACGGCCTGGCTGGGTCTTATGTTTTATTGCTTAAACGAAACGATTTGGATTGCGACTAACGTATGGAGAGGTGGTGGTGGGGGGCACAGTGCAATAGCTAACCAGAATAACAGGAATTACGCACACCGTAGATGGTGTCATTGGCTTCGGGCAGCTTGCATACCTTCCCGTAGGCGGGGCGGTTGAGTCGGGTGGCAAGAACGTCCAGATCGAGGTTCCGCACGCGCACCATCAGCGTGGGCTCCTTCTCGATGGAGCGGCACACGAGACTCTTCTGGCAGTTGACCGGCGAGGCGACCATCGGCGGCAGTCCACGAGCGGGCGCATCGGGCAGCAGGGCAATGGCCTTGGGGCCGACATCGGCGCCGACGCGGGTGCTGCCGCAGGAGAGGCAGCAGATGCCCGAATTGATGAATCCAGCGGCCCGCGGGCACGTCTCCTTGTCCTCGATGAGGCGCAGGCGCGTGTCGATGTCGTCGAAGCGATCCCGAATGTACTTCTTGAGGGCCGGCATATGCACCTTGTCCAGCTTGCTGTCCAGCATGTCCTGCAGCTCCTCCATGGTGCCGATGAAGGTGATGTTGTACTCCTGCACCAGATTGCGCAGATTCTCAATCTCGACGACGCACTGCTTGACCAGCTCGAGGCGCTGGAAGAGCACCTCGGTCTGGCGCAGAAACTCCTTGAGCGTCGCATAGAACTTCTCCAGACGCTTGCCCACCTCCTCCATCTGGACGAGTATGGGGCCGGCGATTTGGCGCATCAGCTTCTTCATGAAGTCAACGTTGGCCAGCAGGCTGCAGGCGATCTTGTTGTCCTCGTCGCAGGTGGTGCAGAGATCCTCGCAGGGCGAGGCGTACTTCTCCCACATCTTCGACTGGAACTTCTTGCCCTTGGCCTTGTTGCAGACGCGTATCTGCTTGAAGTGGCACTCCAGCTTGCACTCCAGCTCCGCAATGCGCTGCTCCAGCTGCCCCACCTTGCCCAGCTGCTCCGAAATGGGCACAATGGCCGCCACATCGAACGGCAGCGGCGAGAACTTGGACTGCTCCAGTATGCGCTCCATGCACTTGCCCTCGAACCCGCCAATGCTCACCAGATCGTCCTGGCAGTTCAGTTTCTTCAGCAGCACATTCAGCAGACTGTGCAGCACGGCCACATTGACGTGTGTCAGCTCGGGCACACCCACAGCAATTCTCACCAGCTGCTCCAGCGTCAGTTCCACTTGGGCGGGCATATTTCTCTTTTTCTCTCTACTTTTACGGGGGGTAAAATATTAAATGTTGAATGTTGAATGTGAATCCTATCGATATGAATTTTCTGATTAATGTTTTTCTATTGTTCTCGTTCTGTCCTTGCCAGGTGGTTCTGTCACTTTGACGATGACAACTATGTCAATGTGCCGCGGCTGGTGAAACTGCTGGACGAGTATAGCCCCAGTGTGGACTGGTATTTGGGCAAGCCGAGCATCTCCTCGCCGCTGGAGATCCACTTGGACAGCGTAAGTGCAAATCTCTGTTATTTCTGCCCATTTTCCTTATACATAATTACAAGTTTTTGCCTCGCTCCGATCGCCTTTCTATCGCCCTCGCTTCGTCGCGCCTCCTTTGCCACGAAACTGGCTTGGCCGGGTTGGGGCTGCGGCTGCGGCTGGGGCTGGGCCTTGGTTATTTATGTGGCCGCCCGGGCCATTTGTCTATGCCGCCATTTGGCTTCCAGCTGCCAGCGCAGGCTATCATTAATAACCGATATGATCTGGCGCGGCAATAGGCAACCAACAGTAATAGCAATAGCAATAGCAAAAAAAAAAAAGAGAGCCATAGCCAAGAGCCAAGAGCAGCAGCAGCAGCCAGAGCCAGAGCCTGAATCTGAATCTGTATCCAAGCCTGAACCCGTTCCCATTTCAGAGACCATTTGAAATATCGCCCCAGCTGATCCCGCAATGAATGTGGCCTGCCACAGTTTTGTCGGCTTATAACCAGTTGCCAGGGTTGGTGGTCGGCAATCGAAGAGAAATTTTCAGATCAGCTCTTTCATTTGGGGTTTAGGATTCAGAGCTATTGCAGCCCTAATTAAAAAAAAAATAAAACCCCAAACTTTACGCTTGATTTGCGCACCAAAAACCCAAAACCCAAACCCAAAACCCAAATCCAAGCCCAAGGAGAAAGAGAGTGGCAAGTGGCAAGTGGGTAGAGATCCTGTGCAGGTCTCGGCTTACTCTTGGGTACACCCAGAGCCACGTTGCATGTATTAAGTTTCCAGCTCGCACATGTCCATTTACATGGTCAATTAATCATAAACGAGTTGCATGGGCCAGTTTTTGGGCTTTTCGGAGTTTATTTTTGTTTTGTTTTTAATTTTAAGTCAATTTTCTCTGGGCCATTGGCAAAAAAAAACAAAATAAAATAAAAATGTATTTTTATCCGAGTTTATCCTTTGCTCTGCTCATCCTCCATCCTCCATACTCGTCCCCATTCATAAGCCAGTTCGTTCTTCCGTTAACCTTAACCCTTTCTCTCTCTCTCTCTCTCTCTCTCTCTCTCTGTGTGCAGAAGAACACGACAACCAACAAGAAGATAACCTTCTGGTTTGCCACTGGCGGCGCTGGCTTCTGTCTGAGCCGTGCCCTGACGCTCAAGATGCGCCCCATAGCAGGTGGCGGCAAATTCACCAGCATCGGCGACAAGATACGCTTTCCGGATGATGTCACAATGGGTTTCATTATAGGTGAGTACACACACACACACACACAGAGAGGCAGAAAGACAACTAACTTTTTGTTCTTCCTTTTCTTCTTTTTAATCCCCATGCAGAGCATCTCCTGAAGGTGCCCTTGACGGTGGTGGACAACTTCCACTCGCATTTGGAGCCCATGGAGTTCATACGCTCCGATACGTTCCACGATCAGGTGTCCTTCAGCTACGCCCACATGAAGAACCAGTGGAACGTGATCAAGGTGGATGGCTTCGATCTGAAGACGGATCCCAAGCGCTTCTACTCGCTGCACTGTCAGCTCTTCCCCTACTTTAGCTTCTGTCCGCCCAGATGAGGCCGCGTATGGGTCCCCCCCACAATGGGTCCGACGGATCCTCCATTTGGCTGTTTGCAGGCGCGCGCGCCCCCGTTCCTCCCTGATTCGGTTCAGAACCGATGTGGCAGGGCAGGCGTCGATAAAACCAATCTCGCCACTGTGATTTAACATTTAAGGGTTCTGTATTGTATTTTGTATGTGTATATAAATGAAAGTTGTGCTTCCTAACGGTATAAGGTATACAATCTGCAGGTGGATCTGCAGATATTGCAATTCCAACACACTTCCAAGTGCTTCCCTATAGCATGTAGTAACACGGATTCTTCCAATCTGCTTAGCTGCTAGTTAAATTAATCGTCTAGTCTACATTTAAGTGAACCCCTCCCCTGCTTCCTTTGCAGAGCTACAAATGACCACAGCTCTGAGCCTGAACACCCTGTCCTCAGCCCCTTTGCTGCTCGTAGTCCGTGGTAGTTGTGTAACACTGTAATGCAGTCTAATAATCGCCTAAACTAGCTGATAAATGCGACTATTTGTGTACATAGCGTGTATCTATTATAATCGCTAAGCTTTGTTCTAAGAAATGTTTAAACAATTTGTTAATTTTTAGTTTGCTTGAATAAAAATTATATGACATACAAAAATGTATTTAAATGGAATTTGCATCTCTTGTGTACTTACATTCCAGCGTCTTTATGGGTAGACAATCCAGCAGCAGAATAGTCTGAAAATAAAGAGAATTTACGTTCGTTATTGTTGGCACTGAGCAACAAGTAATTACAGATTATTCGGACAAAGGATAGGGATAAGAAAGAGTGCCATTCCATGCGCTGCTTATTCTTAAATAATTGAATATATAAAAACTATTTCAATCGAGTTTAAATGCAATTAAAAATTGAAAGAAAAACGAATAAAATGATTTGTTTGTTTTGTATTTCATGGTTTTTCCATACTGAATGTTTTATTACTCCCTCGAAAAAATAGCTGACTGCACAAGCAGCATTTGAAAGTGGAAATATCCCGGCGAGGGTCCTGCGATGTCGATGTCGTTGTCGATGTTTTTTGTCGACTTTTCGGCGGATCCATGTAGCCGCGGCCCCCGGCAGCTTATCGGCTCCCGTGTCACTTAACATTCTGTCTACTTGTTGTTGGGGTCGACCGACCGTTTCCTGCTCTGGCTCTGGGCTGTGGCCGTGGCCATGGCCATGGCTATTGCTGTTGTTCTTGTTGTTGTTGTTGTGGCTGTAGCTGTAGCTCTGGCGCACATTTTGCATTTTTCGAAAATTCGTTGTTAATTAACGCTAAAAGCCATGTTTAAGCCGCTAAAGCGTTAACTTTTAACGATATGGATCAGAGCCGGAGTTGGAGTTGGAGTCGGAATCGCAGGCAGAGACAGCAACAGCGACAGCGACAGAGAGCAAGGGAGATAGACATTGACATGTCCACGTCGATGCCGTTGTCCATGTCCATGTCCCGTGTCCGTGTCCTGCGCAGTCAAAGTTGCCCAGACAATGTACAGGTCCAAGAGTTGGGGGTGCCTCGGGAGCCTGCCGCTCCAGCCCCAGCCCCACAGCATCATCGACTCCAATGACATGTTGCGAATTTTTATAAAAGACTCACTCGACTGGGAGGCAGCTCTGCCTGCTCTCTCTCTCTCTCTCTTCTCGCCACTCTCGTGATATGTTAAACAGTTCTGGGCAATTATTTTTTCCTTTTCGCTGATGCTGATGCTGCTGCTGCTGCTGCTGCTGCTGCCGATGCCCGGCGATGCCGTGGCTTTGACTCGCTGTTGTTGGTGTATCCAGTTTTTAGTTGGCTTATATGCAGATAATCAGTTTTTAGTGCATGTCGAGGCTCGGCTTGGGGTGCTCTTTAATGAATGAAAGCTGCCTGCCTGCCTGCCTGCCAGGAGATGCCCAGTTGTCTGGCTGTCTCTCTCTCTCTCTCTGTCTTCCATTGTCTCCTGGCCACGAGTAGATGGAGATGGGTATATGTAGATGGGACTGGGGACTGTGAACTGTGGACTGGCAGAAGTCCGAGTGTTAGTCCCCAAGCTGGGCTTATCCGCTGACTTGGCTGGCAATTTTTGTGTCTTGTTCGTTTTAATTGCAAGTGAAATCCTTGTCAGCGTTGTCATCCCCGCTGTCTGTCTCCATGTCCGTCCGCCTGTGCTCCTCTCTGCTGCTGTCTGCAGTCCCCAGCATCGATAATGAATTAATTATCATATATTAAAAGTCAGTTTGCAGCAGTCGCCCCCCTGATAATCTCTGCTGCTCGGGCACGCCTTTGCATATTTTACGGATCTCAGAATTTAATGAACTCCAAAGCCGAAACTCCCAGACCCCAAACTCCCAGACTCCGACTCCGGACTCGATTCGATTCGAGCTGCTCCAACTTAATCCCCCCACTCCATTATTTTTCATGTTCATTTAGTTTTCTGGCACACGCACTTCTTGCCCTGCCTCTTGCCCCTTGCCTTCCTTTCTTTCCATGGGATTTTCATTCATCATTTCTAACCACAAAGTCGTCGGTGGCCGGGCGGGCGGACCAGGTAGCAGCGGACTGTGGCAGGGACAGGGACAGTGGCAGGGGCAGGGGCAAGTGGGCCATAAAAGATAAAGCCATAACCGAAATTCAGTGGCAATAACAAAGGCCTCTCAGCATTTTTCACTTCGACTTGGGGCGCCGCCCACGAATCGAAGAGCTGAGAGCGGATAGGCGGATGGCGGATGGCGGTTGGGGCTGCTCCGCTCATTGAAGTCCATTTAATTTGTGGTTGCCAGCCTGCCGCCAAGCGATTCATTAGATACAAATTGTGGCCGACTCTGACTCGTTCTCAGGCTCTTCCCAATTTATGCAAAATCATAATTTTAATTGAATTTCTTGTACTCGCATTTGGGCAAAGTAAAGCAAAGCAAAAGGATTTGGGGCGACTGTTATAGCGAGAGATACGGATACGGCAAGTGTCTTGCAGCAGCAGAAGCAGCAGCAACACTCTAAGCCGTTGTATTTTTAAGGCTCTTTGGACTTCTGATTGAAGTGAAATGACGGCTGGCAGGCTCATTTGTATGCAGAGCAGTCGACCAGGCGCAAATTACACAAGAAAATGTCCGAAACAAGCTGATCGGGCGATAAGGAACGCAAAGTATCTCTGCTGCCAGTCAGTGGTTGGGGATGCTCTGGCTCAGTTCTGGGCATGTCCCGCATCTCGTCAATGCGTGTGTGTGCTCCCCACTTTACGAGTCCGAGTATCTGTGTATCTCCGCTTCACGACGATGCTTATCGTCATCGTCCGCACAGCCTTGTCAACCCGTTCCCCGAGGTTTGCATTCAATTTTGGAGGCCAGCGAAATGCCAGGCACATCTCTCTGAATCGGTAGCAGCCTTTTTTGGCAGAAGGAGGCCCCCCCCCCCAACTCCAACTCACAGGCAAGCAAATAATTTGTCCGTCTGTCGGGAGAGTCTTCTCCGTCTTGGCCAGGCAGGCAGGCAGTCAGCCAGGCAGCCAGGCAGCCTGTCAGTCACTCGACTAGTCTGCAAACTATAAATTAGTGCAGCAGCAGGAGGCTCCAGAGGCTACAGAGGCAGCAAAGCCCCAGCCCCAGCCCCAGACCCAACACAACACCCAAGTGTGCCGCACTGAATTTATGTTGTGCATGCCAACGATCGGGGCGTGGATGCGGAATGGAGTTCGCTATTTCAGCAACCCTCTCCCCCCAGCCACTGCTCCAGCAGCAGCCACTGCTCCAGCATCCAGCAACAGCAACAGGTGAAACGGGCATCAGACTAGATCAACTGCCAGTGAGGTGAAGAGTGTCCCATACCCCTTGCAGACATGTGGATTGATGGGTATATTGATTGAGCGATGAAGATAAGTAGCGAGGACATGGAAACATCTTTCTTTGGAGGAACCACTGATACGCGTACTTGGAGTAAAAATATTAAAAAATATATTTAAAGTTCAAGGATAATCTAGCTATAGTTGGCAGCTTTTTCCCCCTCCATCTAGAGGGTATTCTTGTGTGCGTATATCTATGGCTACCAGTGAAATATGCTTCCCTGTCTATAATTGGAAATGTGAGGCAGCAAAATGAACTCAGCTGCAGAGTTGCAGTTGCAGTTGCTATTCCTGCCGCTGCTGCTGCTGCCGACCTGCTCATAATTTAAAGCTGCCGTTGCAGTTTATGGCCCCAACTCGGCTAAATTATGTTCTCCTCTCTGTGTGGGGAGGTGGTGGAGCTGTAGTGGAGAAATCTGTGCCTCCACTCCACTCTGCTACACATTACAATCTCCTACTCCATTTCTGCACGGCTGCGATCGGGTAGATCTCTCTCCCAGATAGTTGCAGAGCACAGCCGCAGCCACAGCTGCAGGCTATTAGCGTTTTGGCAAAAAGATACTTAACGGTTAGCATGCCAGTTGTTGCATGCCACATACACGTACAACTTTATTAGGGCTCCTGCTGCCTGCTGCCTGCTCCCGATCTTTTTGGCTGATTCCGTCAGCAGGTTTACGCCGAATTCGCGTTGAGAACAATGCCGGACAGTTGTCAAAGTTGCCGCTGGGCGGCGTTGTGGCATTGTTGACGATGCGTTAAAAACCTTTTCCCCTGATTTTAATCTCCCCCTCCCTTCCACTCTCTTCTCTCTCTCTCTCTGTTAGTGGGGTAATTGTTTTCGAGCGTGGCTGGAGGTAAAAGGCAACAGCAGCAACAACAGCATTGCTCATGTTTCAGTTTCACTCAAAATGCGATAAAGATAAAGACAATGTCGGGGCGTATGACCTGAAAAATGTGCGCTCTGCTCTGCGCTGCGCCTGCTCTGCTGTGCGCCTGCGCCTGCGCAACGTTTCAACCTACACAAAAGCAAATGACGGGCTTATCAGTTCAAATTAATCAGGCGTTGCCTCTACCCATGTTGTGGCACGCACTCGAAACAAACAAGCCCCACAAACCTGACAACCAGAGACCCCCCCACACACACAAACACACTGAGAGAGAAAAGAATCAGAGATAAAGACAGAGAGAGAGAGAGCAAGACACCTTTCAGCGCCAGGTATGTGTCTTTTTTGTCTCGTTTCTCATTTCAATTGTTTGCTCTGTCAAAAATTTACATCACCTGAAGACGAAGTGGAAGAGGAAGACGAAGACGAAGACGAAGTGGATGTGAATGTGAATGTGGAAACTCAGTACTAAAAGCGCTTTTTGTTTTCTGTTTTCTGTTTTCTGTTTCTGTTTCTGGTTCTTGCTTCTTGTCTTATCAGCGGCTTTTGGCCCATCTGAAGTGCGCCCCCCCCCTGACCCACTCCCAGCCGAATAGTTAGTCATTCCCAGTGGTTCGTTCAGTTGTTCGTAATTCATTTGCCGTTTTCATGTTTCACTGGAAATCACAGAAACACAGCCGCGCGCGGTACTTAAAATTTTGTAGAAAAACCAAAGCGTCCGAGAGGGTTGGGGGTTGGGGGTCGACTACTACTCGTACTATCTCCAGGTTTCCATCTCGATTTCAAGAGGTGTCCCAGAGTTCGTTCTTCTGCGGGGCTGAGTGCTGCTGGTCACCACCGTGGGCGTGTGGCCAGTGTCCAGTGCCCAGTGGCGTTTATTGCCAACTCATTTTCGTACCTTCTCCCACGGCGAGAACTGG